CACATCGAACTGAGTATTCCCCCTCGCTTTATGAAGGAGATGTCCTGTCACCGGGGCGCATGATGTGTGTATGTGTGTGTATCCGACACCACCGGCATTTGTTTTCAAATTACCACGAACAGCACACGCACACACAAAACGAGGCCACGCTTTATTAACTCGTGCGCACGCTTTAGTAACTCGTGCGCACGCTTTAGTAACTCGTGCGCACGAGTTACTAAAGCGTGCGCACGAGTTACTAAAGCGTGCGCACGAGAAAGTAAAACGTGGCCACGTTTTATTTATTTTTCTCTCTATGAACCCTCCAGGGCTCCGTACATGCCAGTATTCAGTTAACTATTTATTTTCTGTGCACATTACATAGACTAGCTAATATTCTACCTAATGCTTGGGACTTTGAGTCTTCAAAATGTCCAAAGTCACAGACTGGGACTTACTTTAGAGTCAGTTGTATTTACATTCAGTATGACTTGTTATGATTCAATGTGAAAGAGTATACTGCTCAATAAATAATGATCACTTCATCACCTCTCTTGACATCTAGGCGCTTGAGAGTGAGTCAGAGGCAGAACACAGGGACAGTGGAGAGAGGTCCATTGCTGAGGTGAGTGATGAAAGGGAAATTACAGTTTAGAGTAAATTGTGATGTGGACCCTCATCCCAGAATTTTAAGGAAATCAGTGGGGATATTGAACAGGAAACATTTCAGTCAAGGGGCATCATATGACCAATATAGACAGAAGAGCAACATTTATTTGAACATTTAAGTCAATGATACCATTCCTAGGTGAACTTAACATCTGTATGGAGTAAGATCAGTCTCAATATTAATAAATGCTCACAGAAGGATTCACAAATGTATTTTGCGATTTATATATAAATGACTCTCCACAACAATATCTCTCAAATATGTATTGTTGTATATAAATGTACAACAAATGGGCATTTAAACTGCTTTTTATTAATTCAAAGACGGCTCTGAATTAATAATCAAATATGTTTCCTTTCTTTACTACTGGATGAAATTACAAAATGTACCCATCATTTTCCTCATGCTAGTATAGCCACATAAAAGTATCAAACCACCTGTTAAAATGCACCAGAATACAGGAAATGTATTACATTTTTTCGTGGGGGGGGGGGGATCCCCACACCCCCCCTTAAAAATGTCCCACATTCAGGATGCTTCCTACGCCCATGGGACCCATGTTGTCCCTTAGAAGTCTAGTGATACAAACATGATTTTTATTCAAAAAGTAAGAAAGAAAAAATAAAATTAGAATTGGTGTTGATCCAAAATAGGTTAATTGAGGAATACCTGGAATCCTGAATGTTTAAAGTAATTTATTGCAAAGATATTTACAATTAAAACTAATTCGGGTCACGTTTGAAGCATGTTGGTTATATGTTGTGTAACAAAGGCTTTAACATGACAGCTGTGATGTTCACTCTTTTGACAGAGCACCAGTGGACAGTGAGGACTATGGAAGAGAAGATGTGATGGCTTTGTGTGGAAAGCTGCTGACGCCAGCCTGTGTCCCTCTCATCAGTCTCTCCAGGCAGCACCCAGCTATTCTTCCATCTTGCAGATGAATGTACAGGACAATCAGACCTTGTTCAACAAAGATCATCAGACAATTGTTTTATATTTGAGGTACAGCCGCAGCAGAGAGTCTGAGTTTGAAGAAAACACTAACATTTTATTTAGTGTTGTTTAATCAATCAATATTTACTGGTCTTGAATTTCCTCACTGGATTACAAAATGCTCGAATCTTATTGTACAGGGACATTATGCAGATGTAATCACCTGAAGATGAAAATATAGATTCAGCTTGTACCATTTTAAGGAAATAAACTGTTAGTGGTATTGACCGAAGCTCCGCAGCTTTAGCTATAGGCGTTGCTAATGAAAACTCAAGTGCTCAATTTGTTGGTTTTTATTTTTTATTAAGAATTGACCAAGCATATCTTCCTCTTCGAAATCCCAGTTGTACTTCGCTAACACGCAGTGCCTTGGAGGGTGCGTTTAATTGTTCCCACCCTTACCTCATTTATGGACTAGGTCATGTTAGACAAGCAATCCAGTGGTTAGTTTTAGGGTAAGCTCCATTGTTTGTTTTTTAATTTATTCACTTTAAGAGAAAGAGATTTCAGAAACAAGTCTCACAAGTTTGGCTCGTGGTAAAATTAACAAAAGCTAACTGTTGTTAGACTATGTTCCCCCCTTCTAAACTTATGAAATAATCAATGCCCTTGGGATGCTCTCAATAACGTGTGTGTGTGCGCTTCAAAGTTCCATCATACAAGATTTAGGGGATCTATTGGCAGCTGCTGAACATCCATCATTATGGTTTACTAATAGTTATCACTTCACTTCCTCCTCCAGCACCTGGACACAGCAGGAACCTACGCCAGGATCCTGTTTGTGGACTTCAGCTCTGCCTTCAACACCATCATCCCGGCTCTGCTGCAGGACAAGCTCTCCCAGCTGCACATGCCCGACTCCACTTGCAGGTGGATCACAGACTTCCTGTCTGACAGGAAGCAGCACGTGAGGCTGGGGAAACAGTCTCTGACCCCCGGACCATCAGCACCGGTTCCCCTCAAGGCTGCGTTCTTTCCCCTCTGCTCTTCTCCCTGTACATCAACAGCTGCACCTCCAGTCACCAGTCTGTCAAGCTCCTGAAGTTCAGACGACACCACCCTCATCGGACTCATCTCTGGTGGGGACGAGTCTGCCTACAGGTGGGAGATGGACCATCTGGTGACCTGGTGCAGGGAAAACCGCCTGGAGCTCAACGCTCTCAAGACAGTGGAGATGGTTGTGGACTTTAGGAAGAATACTGCCCCACCCGCCCCCATCACTCTGTGTGACTCCCCATCACTCTGTGTGACTCCCCAGTAACTGCTGTGAAGTCTTTCCGCTTCCTGGGCACCATCATCGCCCAAGACCTCAAATGGGAGCAGAACATCTGCTCCCTCATCAAAAAAGCCCAGCAGAGGATGTTCTTCCTGAGGCAGCTGAAGAAATTCAACCTGCCAAAGACGATGATGGTGAACTTCTACACCTCCATCATCGAGTCCATCCTCACTTTCTCCATCACCATCTGGTACGCCGCAGCCACAGCCTAGGATAAGGGCAGGCTGCAGCGTGTCATCCGCTCTGCAGAGAGGGTGATCGGCTGCAATCTGCCATCCCTCCACGACCTGCATGCCTCCAGGTCCCTGAGGCGGGAAGATAGTGGCCGACCCCTCCCACCCTGGACACAAACTGTTCACCCCCCTCCTCTCTGGCAGGAGGCTGCGCTCCATCAGGACCAGAACCTCTCTCCATCAGGACCAAATCCTCTCTCCATCAGGACCAAAACCTCTCTCCATCAGGACCAAAACCTCTCTCCATCAGGACCAAAACCTCTCTCCATCAGGACCAAAACCTCTCTCCATCAGGACCAGAACCTCTCTCCATCACGACCAAAACCTCTCTCCATCAAGATCAGAACCTATCTCCATCACGACCAAAACCTCTCTCCATCAGGACCAGAACCTCTCTCCATCAGGACCAAAACCCCTCTCCATCAGGACCAGAACCTCTCTCCATCAGGACCAAAACCTCTCTCCATCAGGACCAAAACCTCTCTCCATCAGGACCAAAACCTCTCTCCATCAAGATCAGAACCTCTCTCCATCACGACCAAAACCTCTCTCCATCAGGACCAAAACCTCTCTCCATCAAGATCAGAACCTCTCTCCATCACGACCAAAACCTCTCTCCATCAGGACCAAAACCTCTCTCCATCAGGACCAAAACCTCTCGCCAACTCAACAAAGCCCGCCCCCCCCCCACTGACACTTTACCTCAGCCACAACGCAGACTCTCTGCATTACATAATGGAGATCACAGAATGGTAAATAATGCAATGTTTAAATATTGCTTACTGCACATATTTTATATTCTATAATTTATTGCATTCTATTTCGATGTAAATTACTGCTTTATTTTATTGCTATCTTACTATATTTTTATTACAGTGTTCTTAATATAGTGCTTTTTTTATTTTTGTTTTTTATTTGTACACTGAACAAAAATATAAACGCAACACTTTTGTTTTTGCTCCCATTTTTCATGAGATCAAAGATCTAAAACATTTTCTAGATACACAAAATAACCATTTCTCTCAAATATTGTTCACAAATCTGAAAAAATCTGTGATAGTTAGTGTGATGAAAACTTCTGTCTTTCAATGTTCAGTTCAATGAAGGAGACTGGATCGTCGTTAGCCAAAGCACTGAGTTTATTCTAAGTACAAACAAACATAACAAACAAACAAACGGCCGGGGAGCCCACATAGTTCCACCCTGTTGGGGCGAAACCAAGCCAGCTCTGACACAAAGAAGCGGCACCCTGCAAGATGCACAGAAAGGGCAGGACCCTAGAAAAGCGCGGGCTTTTCCTTAATGCATGCCAGACGTCACAGAACAAAGGACTGTTTGTCTCATAAAGCATAGACGAGAAGAAATACCCTCCCCCACAGGAAGGCGGGGGAGGCCTCTCCGAGCTTACTGCAAGGAAAGAACCCCTATCATCAAAAGTCAAAGACAACAGAGATTGGACCAAAATATTCCATGACAGTTAGCACTTCTCCTTTGCCGAGATAATCCATCCCACCTCACAGGTGTGGCATATCAAGATGCTGATTAGACAGCATGATTATTGCACAGGTGTGCCTTAGACTGGCCACAATAAAAGGCCACTCTGAAACGTGCATTTTTGCTTTATTGGGGGGGTCTGAAAACCAGTCAGTATCTGGTGTGAGGGGTAATGTTGTGAATCGAGTGGCCTGTGTTCGTTGTCCATAACATACGCCTGCCCATACCATAACCCCACCACCACCATGGGCCACTCGATTCACAACATTACCCTAACCCCAACACATTCATCCCCACCCCCTGCTCTGCTGATATTCTTGTATGCGACTGCTACATAAACTCCTCCCCCTCTCCACTCCACCTCCCAGTAACAATGTCCAGTCAGACTTTCTCTACTCAGGACCTGACGATAATCAGTGAATCTGTCTGGATGATTAGAATAAGACTGATGTTGTTTCATGAATGTTGTTTTTCTGCCCCCCTCAGATAATACCAGCAGTGTGTGTGCTGTGTTTGGATCCAGTGTGATCTCCTGTGAATATTTTTTAAGAACCCAGCTCTGGTGGTGGGCTCCGCTGCTGACAGTAAAACATCCACTTCAGTTGGTGAGATGTTTGTCCATTCCTCTCTCAGGACGTCCTGTAGTTTGTCTCTGACTGCTGACAGGGCCGCCGTCACGTCCTCAAAGTAGCTCAGAGGACAGATGTTGATGCTGGAGGAGTGTGTAGCTTCACTGAGGGCTGACGGTGAGGGGTAGCTGTGCAGAAACTGGTTGTGATCCTCTGTGTGAGACAGCAGCTTCAGCTCAGCGTCTCTCCTCTTCAGCTCAGCCATCTCCTGCTCCAGCTTCTCCTGAAGCTCTTTGACTCGACTCACTTCACTCTTCTGCTGGGATCTGACCTGCTGCTTCACATCAGAGCTTATTTTCTCCATGAGACGGATCAGCTCAGTGAACATCTTCTCACTGTCCTCCACTGCTTTATCAGCAGAGCCATTGACGGCCTCCACCTCCTGCTGAAGCCGCTTCACCTCCTTCTCTCTGTCCTGGATTGACGAGAGCAGATGTTCTCCTGGAGCTTCTTGGAGGGCTCCACCAGCTTGTGGTTTTTTAATGGAGCTACGTCATAATGAGGCTGGAGGTGTTTCTCACAGTAAGAGGCCAGACACACGAGGCAGGACTTACAGGCTCTCAGTTTTCTCCCAGTGCAGACATCACAGGCCACATCTTCAGCTCCAGCATAGCAGTGATCAGCAGGAGCAGCTTGGAGTCCAGTCTTCTTCAGCTCCTCCACTAAAGCTGCTAACATGGTGTTTTTCAGCAGGACAGGCCTCGGTGTGAAGCTCTGCCTGCACTGAGGGCAGCTGTGGGTCTTCTTCTCATCCTCTCCATCCCAGAAGCCTTCAATACACTTCATGCAGTAGCTGTGTCCACAGGGAATAGCCACCGGATCCTTCAGTAGATCCAGACAGATAGAACAAGAGAAGGTTTCCCGGTCCAGCTGAACTCCTTTCTGCGCCATTTCACCTCAGTGGCAGCGAGTGTCTAGAGTTTCACTTCCTGAGAGCTGAAACTATGTGAGCTGTGATCTGAACAGCATGTGTGTGTGCAGTGAATGTGGCCTATCAGCTCTTGTACTTTACCCACATGTTGGTTACACTCATCCTCCTCAGTGTGGATCTAAAGGGGAGGAACCAGGAAATACAGAGTGGAGCTGGCTGTGTCTGAGAGCAGGAAGAAGAGGGAGGGCTTATCAAACTCTGACTCATTCCAGGAGGAGGAGCAGCGCTGACATTCTGAACCGTTTCCTCATTTACAAACGGATCCTCGCTTACTACCTGCTCACAACAGCTTTTAGTTTTAAAATATTTCTTTGCACCTTAGAGGAAGGCTCCTTATCTCTGTAACTCCTGTTTAATTTCTGTTTGCTTCTCTTACAGGCTGAAAACAGCTGACTGACGATAGGGTGAAGTACGTTTAACCAAAGAGTTAAACATATTAAAACCTTCCAGATCCAAACAAGCAATTTGAGATATAGGCTGAAATAACTGTGTGTCTGTCTGTCTGTCTGTTTGTTTGTCGTGCTGAATGAGTTTGCTGGCTGTCATTAAAGCACCCGGGCAGGGAGAATCAGTCTGTCAGGAGTCCCTGTGTGACTGAGTTCATCTTTCCCCGAGGCCCACTATCTTCCTTCTCTCCTCTATGTAGAGCGGACTCTCTCTCTGTGGCAGACACCATCTCTACATTTAACTCTAAGTGTCTGAACAACGCTCTTATGCAGAGCAACTTGTCCAAGTGGAACAGTAGGAAAGGCAAGGCAAGTTTATTTATATAGAACCTTTCAACACAAGGCAATTCAAGGTGCTTTACAAAAATGAAAGACATTCAGACAAAGGCATTTAAAAACAGTCATTAAGAAGAAAAGATAATACAATTAAAAGAAAAAACACATGAATAAAAAGTACATGAATAAAAAGTTACAGTGCAGTTTAAGACATGAATAGTTCAATTAAAAGCAGCGGCAAAAAGAAAAGTCTTCAGCCTGGATTTCAAATTAGTAAGAGTTGTAGCGGACCTGCAGGTTTCTGGGAGTTTGTTCCAGATATTTGGAGCATAATAACTGAACGCTGCTTTACCATGTTTAGTTCTGACTCTGGGGACAGAAAGCTGACCAGTCCCTGAAGACCTGAGAGATCTGGATGGTTAATAATTTAGCAATAGATCAGAAATGTATTTAGTGCCCAAACCATTCAGTGCTTTATAAACCAGCAGCAGTATTTTGAAATATATTCTTTGACACACAGGAAGCCAGTGTAAAGACTTCAGAACAGGAGTGATGTGATCCACTTTCTTAGTGTTAGTGAGGACTCGAGCAGCAGCGTTCTGAATCAGCTGCAGCTTTCTAATAGATTTTTTAGTGAGACCTGTGAAGACACCATTGCAGTAGTCGAGTCTACTGAAGATAAAAGCATGGACAAGATTTTCCAAATCCTGCTGTGACATTAGTCTTTTAATCCTAGATATGTTCTTTAGGTGATAGTAGGCTGATTTAGTAACTGTTTTAATGTGACTGTTGAAACTCAGGTCAGAGTCCATGACTACACCTAGATTTCTGGCTTTATCTGTTGTTTTGAACATTGCACACTGAAGCTCAGCGCTAACTTTTATATGTTCTGCCTTGGCTCCAAAAATCATTACCTCAGTTTTGTCTTTGTTTAATTGGAGAAAGTTTTGACACATGCTACTTTTCCAAGTCTACCCTGCTTATTCCATTAACCAAATTACCTACTGCCAAGGACACGACTGAAATCATGCTACAACATGTGTTCAGGCTGCATGGTCTCCCCAGTGACGTTGTGTCTGATCGGGGACCACAATTTACTTCTCGTTTTTGGTCCGAGTTTTGCAGGCTGATGGGAGCCAGTGTCAGTCTCTCGTCCGGATTTCATCCCCAGTCCAATGGTCAAGCAGAGCGAAAGAACCAGGAGATGGAGACTGCCTTACGCTGTCTAGCCTCCTCCACTCCCTCCTCCTGGTCGAGGCAGCTTCTATGGGTTGAGTATGCCCACAACACCCTTCCTAGTTCTGCTACTGGTCTTTCTCCATTCCAATGCTCCTGCGGATACCAGCCACCCCTTTTCCCTGTACAGGAACGTGAGGCCAGCGTCCCATCTGCACAGGCGTTTGTAAGCCGATGTCGACGCATGTGGTTAAAGGCCCGCTCCGCGCTCCTGCGCTCTTCCGACCGTTATCAACGGACCGCCAATGTGTCAAATGTGACACTGGGGGGTTAGTTAGTCTGTTGACGGTAGCAAACAAGGAACGTGCGTTATTTTTGGCAATGATGTCAGAGAAGAAAGACTGTCGTGCAATTTTCAATTCCAAATTATAAAAGCCAAGTCTCTATTTATAGATTTCAAAATGAACCTGGAGATTTTTTTTTTCGTCTTTTCGACTCCCTTTTTTCTGTTTTCACAGTCATGGCCTTTCTCCATGGAGATATTTTCTTGCCAGTGTAGTGGCAATTTCTTATGTTAGCTTATATGGTAAAACCAAATGCTTCTAAAAGCATTGTCAAACACTACTGTACCATTTCTTGATATGTGCTGTTTTCTCTGCATACTCTAATGAGGCTTATTATTCTCAAGCGCTTCAAGGCCACAGAGCTGATTTGGCAGACTATGTTGAAACCACTCCTCCTCACACAAAGTTGAACTTCCATATTCTGATAACTGTTATACTTTTTACAGCTCAAGGACACAGGTGTCTAATAGCGATATGAGACATCCGTGTGAAAGCAGATTTCTGAGGCATTCTGCACGCCCTATCGTGTATATAAGCTTTGCCTTTCCGTGACTATTGCGCACACTCCTGCAGAATATCCTATACTCTGTGAGACCTGTACCTTTGAAGCTTCAAATAAATAACCAACAAGACAACGCTGTTTGCTTTCACCAGTTTATTATTGATTACTCTCGTTGTACATCTTTACAGTATTGATGAGTTTAAAATATCCACAACACCAGTCACTTCCTTTACCTTAGTTGGAGCAATGGCATCTTTAACATTTTTAATTTTTGAATTAAAATGATCTTCTAGCTCATTTACTGAGATGTTAGCAGGGGCAAGTGTGGAAGAAAAATTCTGAGTAAACATTTCCCTAGTATTTTCAGTTAAATATCGCTTTGTGGTTACCTCTTTTTAAACATTTTTGTGAACAGAAATAGAGCTCTCAAAGAAAACACAGGCCCCTTTAGTGTGCGTGGGCTCCGTCACATGCTGATTCAGTCCATAGTTATCAAGAACACAAAACAGTTATGGAGCCCCTCTGTCCTGGGGGTTGTCAACATGGATGTTAAAATCACCAACAATGACTAGACGGTCAAAGTCAATACACACTGTTAGAGCCAGTATTTTGATTTTATAAGAAAGGCCACCTAATTGTGACGTCTGTAGTCAACGCACTATAAAGGACTACAATTCCCACGGCGCCTGTGCTAAAGCCACAGTGATGGGCAACCTGTTGAGAGACACCGTCGAGGAACAGTTTTTAACCGTACCGTACACGTACATACAATAGTACAAGTACCCTTTAAGTTATGAAGTTATAAGCATTATCAAGAAAGAAAGAATACCTAAGTTGTTTGTTATTTTATTTGAGTTTGCCTATTTCTTTTGAATATTGTAAAGGCCTATTTTCTTTGTTGCATGTGCAAAAGTTTGTTATTTTATTTTGAGCAAACACATAGCAACATCTTCTAAACCATCGGAGGCCAAGCAACACTTCAAACTGTGAGTAATTTAAAGGAAAGAAACAAGTTAGAACTGTCTGTTTAAGGCGTCTAGTGGCTTGATGGAAAGACCAGGAAGGAAGCCACGACACACACTATAGACAGAAGTTCAGTAAAGTCATCAAAAAAGCTTGCACAAAAAAAAAAAGCAACTCAAATATTTCCATTAAAACAACATTTGGAATAAAAACTATTCAGTGAAAGTCACACACATGAAGCAAATACGATGTTGGGCGACAAACATTCTGAACTTGATGCTCACTAAAATTGCAATTGCAGACATAACAGATAATTGAATAGCAAGTATAATATACACAGACGATATTAAGAAATGTATGTAAAAGATCAAAACGTTTTTTTTAATAAAATGTCTCAACATATGTAGGATTTTTCAGATGTTTCATACAGGAACATTTAAATACATTTCATTTTTGAAGGAGTTAATTAAATCCCTTCTCTTTTGTAAACTTGCAGAGGGCTGTGGGAGATTTAAAGATGGACTTTATGAAACTACTCCCACATTTTTGTATTCAAATTGATAAATATAGATTTTTAATATTAAATCTAAATGGAAAAGTTTAAACTCGCTATTTGAACTAAACTCAAACAGTGTCAGAATATGAAAAGTAAAAGAGTTTACAACACTGATGAGTTAACTTTATTTATTCTATTGAAAATCAATAACAGCTGGAAAGAAACCTTGATTCATGATTAAGAATTATGATACAAAGCATATCTATGTTGAAACATTTAATGAAAAAATTCAAAACAAAATACATGTGCACAGCTTCAGATATTAAAGCAGACGGCAAAAATCACGCAGTCATGAGAAAACAAAATAAATGAGAAAAACTAAATAGAGAATTTAAAATAATTTCCACAAAGGACAAAAACAAAGTTCTGCCACATTCATAGGAAGAACAAAACTAGGCTACTTAATTACAATGATAGGAAAAACTGCTGCAAAATGCAATACATATAGTAGTAGACAATATATTGAAAACTTCTGATCAAAAGTTTAAGACCATAGCCTTAAAAAATCTAAATCTGCGCAAAAATGTGGCTTTCATGTCAGACATTCAAACTTTCATGACCTCCTGATCAGGGTGGGAATTTCACGACGGCCATGGCCGTGATGCCCTGTGAAAAAAATATGCAATTCATGGCCAAAGTGGCCTTTGTGCCCCTGTCAAAAGTTCCAGTGTAAACAACGCTAGTGAAGTCATACTAGTGCGCGCAGTAGGATAGTCCCGTGCCTGTGGATCAGAGCGATTGCTCTGCTGTGATTGTTCCGTCAGACATGCCGTGTAAACAATGCTAGTAAAGTCATATTAGTGTGCGCAGTAGGATAGTCCCGTGTCTGTGGATCAGAGCGATTGCTCTGCTGTGATTGTTCCGTCAGACAGCCTCCTCCTCAGCCGCGGGAGCAAGACAAGCACAGGTAAGCAAGCGGACCAAGCTGTTTTGATATGATTTAACTGAAGTATGTGGTAGTATTTGAAAGGACTTAACATTTACGTGTTTATAGAAAGTACTATTGATAGGTAATTACCATAGTATTAGCCTATTTAAAGTCGACTCGTTACATTTTGTCATGAAAACTAGCGATAGCTAGCTAGTTTGGATAGCGCTAACGTCTTCCCTTCAAGGGGTCTACATCTAGTGTTGCTTCTACAAGCTAGCAGATAGCTGTCACCTTTGAATCTAGTATTTTTCTTGCTAAGCGGTTTTGATATAATACATGACTGACTTATGTGGTTTATGGCTGAACTCAGCTGCGCTATGGGCTTTCCGTAAAGACAAAAAAAAAAGAACTCGACCCAAATTAAGGCCATTACAGATGCTGACTGCAGCCCAATAACCAAAATAGTTTTCTATCTGTGTTTTTTATTTTTGCACCACGACACTAAGTCAAAATTCCTTGTCCACATCAACCTACATTGTAATAAACCTGTTTCTGATTCTGATAAGACGGCATCAGGGAGAGAAGGGCTTGAAGAACAAAAAAAGTATTCGAATGCTACGTCTCCTTACGCGCCAAAAACTTGCCCGTCTGGACTTTGCAATGGAGCATACAAAATGGGACATTGAACCGTGGAAGGTTTTGTAACCTGGATTGTCCTGATGGCTTCCAACTTTAGGAGAATCCATTATGATATGGGGTCCTTCTTCCTTCAATGGTGGTGACTAGGGATGGGTATCGTTTGAAATTTATCGATTCCGATTTCGATTCCGGTTCTGCTTATCGATTCCGGTTCTTATCGATTCCCCGTTTCGATTCCAAAATTGTAAAATAAAGAGGTCAAACGTTTAGATAACAAAAATATATTTATTCTTAAAAGCTTTAACTGAAATTGTTACTAAAAAATATACATGCAATACAAATGTATTGCACAATAGCTGTGCTTTATTTTAACTGAGCTATGCCTGTGGCAAGCTATTAACAGGCACTGTGCCTTGTCTTTTTCTTTTTTAGTGTAGTGGAGCCTCACTTCAGAGTGTTTACCGCGACCTATCTTTGGTGTTATGAAGTGACTGAGCTCGTGAAATGTCTACGGGAGGGCGGGGGAGCATCGCTGCGGGGCAACTGTGGACCTCTGTCGCCTGTCAGCGCAATTTATATGATGCCGTTTAAAAAAATGAAGGGCGGTGCCGGCCGTCAGCGTACCGAGCCGGCCGTCAACGGCCCGCTGACGACCGGCCGTTCTGTGATTCTCCAGGTCCGCCCGCTGGAATACAGGGTCTACCGCGTTTAGGAACCGTTAAGCAGAACCGAAATTGTGTATTTTGTATGGGTACCCGGTACCCGGCATTTTCTTATCGGTTCTCATCTGGAACCGAGTTTCGGTTCCCAACCCTAGTGGTGACTGGGTCTTTCAACCGAAAAACAACCCCCTGATTAAGGACTTCTTCCAGGAGAATAACGTCACTCTTCTATACTATCCTGATCTAAATCCGATTGAGAACGTTTGGGGATGGAAGGCAAGGGAAGTTTACAAAAGTGGACGTCGGTTCCAGAGCGTGGATGCCCTTCGTGAAGCACCATATGGAGCAACGTTCCCAAAAGCCACCTGGAAACACTCGCATCAAGCTTGCCTAAATAAATGTTTGAAGTTATCAACAACACTGGTGGGGTAACTCATTACTGGGTTCATTTTTTACACTTTAATTTCTGTTTTTTTTGGCTATTTTCTTAAATGTTTTATGCGCTGGTGATCAGCCTGTTCGAGTTTAAATTCAGGTTTCAATAAATTGCCTACTTTCTGTTTTGGTCTCTTGCTACTGTTCCTGTTTTTGCATTTTGAAGCTCTACTTACAACCTGGTTATGATCCACCAGTACAAAATGGGAATTCTGGTAATTTCTCCACCCGGTTTTCAGATTTTTGTTCAGGAGTGTATAACAATACAGCTATCAGGACATTAGGAGAAGTAACAGCTGGCTTGGCTCTCAAAGTTATTCAAAACTACGCAATGTGAGTGCGCTCGTGGCCTTTAAGTTGACTACCTTGTGCAAAGGCTTTCCCACATTGTTCACAGCTGTATGGTTTCTCTCCCGTGTGAATACGACAATGTTTTTTTAGATCACTTGTTGTAGTGAAAGTTTTCGCACACCATTCACACCAGTATGGTTTCTCTCCTGTGTGAATACGACGATGGACTGTGAGTTTACTTGATGTAGTGAACGTTTTCCCACATTCTTCACAACAGTATGGTTTCTCTCCCGTGTGACTACGATGATGGACTTTGAGTTTACTTGACGTAGTGAACGTTTTCCCACACTCTTCACACCAGTATGGTTTCTCTCCTGTGTGAATACGATGATGAATTGTGAGTTTACTTGAAGTAGTGAACGTTTTCCCACACTCTTCACAGCTGTGTGGTTTGTCTCCAGTGTGGATTCGCTGGTGAGTTTTAAGGTGACCTTTCTCAGTAAAGTGTTTGCCACACTGTTTACAGCTGTAGGGTTTCTCTCCAGTATGAATGCGCTGGTGAGATGAAAGGTTGCCTTTCTGCGCAAAGGTTTTCCCACATTGGTCACAGCTGTATGGTTTCTCTCCAGTGTGAATACGATAATGTGACTGAAGTTCACCTTGAGTATTGAAAGTGTTGCCACATTGGTCACAGCTGTACGGTTTCTCTCCAGTGATAATGCATTGATGAATCTTTAAAGTATTAGATGTTGAGAAGGATTTGTTACACTGGTCACAGATGTGAGGTTCGGTTTGCTTTCTTCTTCTCCGTTCCTAAAATATACAGCGAGAGACAAAGAGTTAGTGAGAGGCCGTCGTGCAGAGATCTACAAAAATGAAACAAGCCCATTTGATTTTATATGATCAAATCATACTTAAAGGTGGGGTAGGTAAGTTTGAGAAACCGGCTCGAGATACACTTTTTGTTATATTCCATGGAATGCTCTTAACATCCCGATAGCAATGAATATCTTAAGTGCTTTGACTAAAAAATCCATCAAAATATGTCATCTGTGGAAGCAGTAGTACTGTAAAAAGCACGACCAATCATTTTAGCCGGCCCGGCTAAAATAACTGGATGGCCTACCTGCCTGTCAGCCTTCCATCTGTGCACAAACTTATCTCGTGCCCTCATTGGTCATGTGCGCATTCGTGTGCGTTGGAGGAGGGGCTCTGTAAGAAAGTGGCAGATTTTCTCCGGTTGTGTATTTTCAAATTCTAGCGCACTCGAGCTGGTTTCTCCGAAATTACTAAATGAAATCATAAACATATAAATAAAGTACTCAAATTTCCCTTTAAGTACTGTTAATATCTTCACAGAAAATGCAGAGGTTTTTCATTTCACTCTTTTAGCTGACATTTAATAAATGCAGGTACATTTTTAGCAGCTATTCATACTAAATCAGTTGCCTTGTCCCTCCCCCTGGTGCCAGGACCAACAGATCCATCTCTAGGCTCCGCAGCCCTGTCCCCCCATAAGGCTTTGCAGTCTTGCCATGCTGTCCATTGAAAGCCAGTTGACTAGAAAGCTGGACTTCAAGGACTTGATCAGTGACTTTGCCTGTAATGGCGCGTTTCCACTGCAGGCCTCGCTCGGCCTCGCTCGGTTTGGTTTGGCCTTATTAGGCCCGGCTCACTTTAATGCTGCGCTTCCATTACAGTTTAGGAACTGGGGTAGTTACTATAGTAACGCAGTGTAGGCGGGGCGATCAGCTTTTTGGCGGGCGGAGCGACGCTGCATACAACTGCCGTGACGTCATCTTCAATGCGACACAACTCACAAAACACACAACAACAATGGAGGATGTGGAAGCCATCGTGTCCTTGCTTCTTGGTATGTGGTTTTTTATCACAGCAAGAAGGAAAACTTTGTTTCGGAAAAGGCTGCTTATAGCACGACGTAATACAGAAGAAGCTGAGGGGAGACTTATGGCAATCGTACAACGCGGCAGAGACTATTCCAGGACGACTCAACGACAACGCTACTCGGTAAGCTAACGTTCGCTAACTAGCAATGTGTTTCACGCTCACTATACGACCAAAGTGTTTCACGCTCATTATATGACAAAAGTGTTTCAAGTATTTAATAAATTGTAGCTACCACTTTTACGTATTAAAATATGTATGCTTTTGTTTGTGTATTTCAGAAGTTAGGTTGCCACCGCAGACCATGTGTTTGGATGCTTGACCGAGCAACCGAGTGGTGGGGTGTGATTGTTCCATCTTTCACACACACTCAGTGGGTGAAGAACTTCAGGATGTCTGAGGAAACCTACGTCTACCTGTGCAACAAACTGCGGCCAGCGATGGAGAGACAGGACACACCATTCCGCGAGTGTATACCTCTAAAGAAGAGGGTGGCCATCGCACTGTGGAAGCTTGCGACCGGCTCAGAGTACAGAAGCATTGGACATCTTTTCGGAGTGAGCAACACAACTGTGTGTCGGTGTGTGCAAGACTTCTGTGCTGCTGCAGAGACGTTGTTAGTACTGGAACTAATTCGTTCACCAGACCGGGAGCAGTTTGCCGAAATGGCTGCCTACACTGAGAACAGGTGGGGGCTCCCTCAGTGTGTAGGTGCTATTGATGGATCACACATACCCATCTTGGCACCACAGGAATACCACTGCGACTATTTCAACCGTAAAGGCTGGCACTCCATCACCCTTCAATGAGTTGTAGATGGAAAGGGACATTTCTGGAATGTGTTTGCAGGAATGCCTGGGAGCTTGCATGACGCTCAAGTTTTGAGGCTATCCTCATTGTGGAAGTTAGCCAGTCGTGGCAACTACTTTCCACCTTGCACCAGGAACATTGGTGGGGTGAATGCTGGCTATTACATCCTGGGAGACAATGCCTATCCCTTGCCAAACTGGCTCATAAAAACGTTCCCTGACAATGGACAGCTGACAGCAGAACATGTGATCTACAACAAGAGAATTTGCAGAGCACGGGTAGTGGTAGAAAACGCTTTTGGTAGACTGAAGGGAAGGTGGCGTTGCCTCATGAAAAGAAATGACTGTGATGTGAAACTTGTTAAATCAATGGTGCTGACATGCTGTGCTCTACATAACCTCTGCGAGAGTCATGGAGAGGCCTATGATGATGGGTGGGATGCACCAGCAGTAGCAGAGCCTGGGGTAGCAGTGGCACAAGGTGCAGAGGAGGAGAGCACTGAAATACGAGAGGGTTTGATGCGCTACCTGAATAGCTAAATATTCATTGTATACAGGAAACTTGAATGTTTTGGTTCATAACATCATGGTTCAGTGATATACATTTCTTGTGTTTGTAATTATAAACACGACATTGAAAGATTGTGGGCCATTAAGGCTAGTGACATTTTGTTTTGTTTTTATTATTACTACATTGTATTGAACATAAATAAATCTTTTTTTCTCTTTCACATATGTGTTTGTCAAATGATTTAAACAAAAAAATGTTATCAGAATTGACTATTTAGTAAATATTTGATTTTCAAGCACCAGTAAGTACTTCCCCACAATAAGAACATTTGAGCAAATATGAAAGTAAACATAAATACAAATGATCTCTTATCCCCCTTCTCTTTCTGTTTTTTTCTAAATACCCCCTTCCAGTTTATTTGTAAAAGTAAATATTTTTACTTTAAGTAATGTGTCAGTTACCAAATAATGTTTTAGAGGAGGACCTCAAGCAAGCAAACTCAATTTCTTGCTTTAAACCTCTTCTTAAAATTAACTTTTATCTTATGAGCTTTTTCCTAACGGATGGTGTTTCTTATTGCTTTATAAATTCATGTATGTTCATATCTCTAGATCTTAATTGGGCTATTTTTACAATTGTTTTTGAGTGATATTGTAGGCTTTTGTTTTTTAAAGATCCACAAATATGATTAGTAATGGTATTAGTTGTAGCCTATTTTTATTTAGGAAAAATATAGGCCTATAACTTCTGCCTCATGTGAATCTGAGTTTTTGTTCTGCTGATTTAAAGCCCTTTAATTGTACATTTGAGTTTATGATTGGATTCCAAAACTGTAATTTTGTGTGTGAGTGGCAACCCAGTGACTTTGTTTACATGCTCACGAAAATCAGTTTGTTAATCAGATTATGGCAGGAAATAAGATGATGCATTTATCAACAAGAGATAAGATGAGAAGTACTTTATTGAATCCCAATTTGGGAAGTGTTTTTTGTTGCAACATAAAAAGGCATGGCATTGTACAAATACAAAATAAAAAAATGTTTGTATTGCAGCAGCATAAAAATATATGGCATTATATAAAAAAAAAAAAAGGAAAGATAAGAAATAAACAAGAAAGTACAAATGTTGCATTTACAAATGAACAACAACAAGAGAGATGAAACTGAATAATATTAAAATTACAGAGGTGGTTTGTCTTCCTGAGGAGACGGGCCACGTCGGCTGCCCCCTAGAACCTGGCCGAGAGTGTGCAGGAAGGCTAGGTTAAACGCATGAGTTTGAGCGTTCTCCTCCCTTCTCAAGGCCATTTCCTCCTCCCTCACCCGGGCAGCAGCCTCCATGGTCAGCTGCCAGTGCCGATCCACCTGGGCCAGTCTCTGTTCATGGTGCCGTTCCTGCTGTGCTAGGTGCTCGTCTCCTCCTCGTTTCCTCTTGCCTGTATGACGATAAGATAATTATAGCAATAAGAATTAGCAATAACAATGGAAAACACAGGACAGGTACAGGTCACACAAGGATACCATACAATGTATAAGCAGAATAACAGTAAGGATGAACTAAAGACAGTTATGCCCTAGATGTTTACAATGATTGTGAAAGTGAATTACATTATGTCCAGCCTGTTGATAATGAATATAAATATATGTATATAATAGGATGTCACACACAATTGTACTAGCTGCGTACTAGCTAGTTTGTAACAGAGCATTTCCACACAGTGGTATAGCTTATTTTACTTAATGACGATGGATGATCTAAAGTTTTAAAAAAAGTCACAATTCCAGTCGTTTTGCCATGCCTATTTCTTACCTAGAACCACACGCTGCGGTGTCGTGATGGCACTCGGCGTTGGTGTCGGTTCCTCGGCTGGTGTCTGTGGTCGAGTTGAGGTCCGTTCTGATGATGTTGAGGACGGACACTGCCACCACCCGTTGTTCGGGACTGTTCCTCCTCACTAGTCCCAATGGCATCATCTAGAACAGCAACATGACTTGTTAATTCCACAAACTACTGTAGCACAATACTAAATAGCAACAACAACTGTAGAAAAGAAGAACTAAACAATGGTGCATGTGGTGTTAGCAAACAATAGCTCTAGCTAATGCTATCTGCCTTAGCTAGCTATGTAGCTCTTCGGGGCTCCATAAAAGCATGGGTTGTCGAACATAAATGTAAGGATAAAATACTTGTTTGTTAGAAGTGAGCTTTAGAATAGATAGGGACACAACGCTTTCAAGCAAATAACAGAGCGTTAACAAAGACTTACCATGCAGGGACTCCAGTAACGCGGTTGCAGAGTCCAGGCCTCCCTCCCTCCCAACGTTGGCCGGTCTATGGCCATAAATAGTGTCCAACAGGTCGAACCACTTCCAGCTTTTCCTATCTGAACCACTCCGGCCGTTGTGGTCCTTCACGGCTCGATACTCACTCTTAAGCTTTTTCAGTTTTTCCCTACACTGCTGGAAAGTCCTTGAGAATCCGCGTTCGGACAACAGTGCAGAGACCTCCTGAAAAACGTTTAGGTTGCGAGTTGTGCCGTCGAGCTCCCGCTGGATTTTATCATCTGCAATCAGCTGGAGGAACGTCGCAACTTTGTCAATCGACCACGGTATGCTTTTCTTTACCATTTTCTTAGGTTTACAAAAATGCTGCAAGCGTCCCTTAATATATGCGACACTAGGGATTAAGTCGCGCGAGAATTGTGACGATTCTCTCTGACCAATCAGCAGTCGTCACTAGTTTAGCATATTCCGCCCGGTTGTTGGCCCCGCTTGTTGGCCTCGATAGAACCACGATTTAGTTGGGCCAGAAAAAGGGTGAAAAAGTAGCCCCGGGCCAAAACTAGGCCAAGTGGAAACGCAACCAAATACGGGCCCCGCACGGCTCGGCGCGCTTAAAGCGAGCTACCCGCTGCAGTGGAAACGCGCCATAAGAAGGCTAGGCGCTGGGCTCTTGGTGAGTAAGGCTGAGCCAGGGCTCGTAATAACTGTTAAAGGGCAAGGCTATGGTAACGATGATCACTACACAGAAGATGCATGATGAGAAAAATACTTTTCATTTCCATTTCCGTTTTGTTGTCCGTTTACACTTTAATACCCGCTTATTTTGTAGTTGGTATGTATATTTAATTTAAAAATCTGCTTATGTTATTTTTTTTGTTATAGCATTTTATAAATGATAATATTGGTGTTAATGTTCACTTTATTTTAATTTAAGAGGTCATGTATATATTTAAGTTATATTTATTTTGATTTATGAATGTTCCATTCAAAAATGTTATTAAAAAGGCATGTACACCATAAAAGATGACTATTGAGATCTATTGTCAGGAATGTTAGTGTTATATAAAATAGTGAATTCTACTGCAGCAGAATGTTGCACGTCTGCACAGTGTTATATTTTCACCGCTCAGTGTCAGTAAATATTGTGCAGTTAGTATTGGACTACAAGATAGATGCAAGCCTGTACAAGTAGAGTTATTTAAAGCATAAATGAGTCGGTTGGGTTCTGGAGGTGTGGTTACAGCATTGTGCTTGGTTGGCGTGGCCTGGGCCTGGTGGTGGGGCCCAATGTGATATATTTTCATGGGGCCCTAAATCCCTGGCGGTGCCCCTGATTGATCCCAATGTTCTCTCACTTTATGCACTTGCAAATAAAAAGGTGTGCAATAATAAAAGGATTTAAGGAATGTTCACGTAGGTAGGCCTCTCGTGCATCTTTCTTGTGGCATTATCAGCCCTGCACATTTTATTGGAGGTGTGTGACTACTTTCTCACTGAGTTATAAGCCGTCACATGTACATTATGTCTTGCATGTCTTTTTTTTAATCAATATGTTTATTGATTTTCAACATACAAAAAAATCTCATACATAGGACGAAGACATAGAGCCAAAAGCAATACATATATACACAGGACAACTATATTACTTTACATTAAAGACAAATAACAACACTAAATTAAATTGGTACATACATACATACATACAACAAGGGCACTCTAATACACCGGCAACCATCCAGTTTTCCAGCAATAGGACCGTATTTCTGCAGAGGATATCATAGTAATTTACATTTTAACATATTATCACTTTATAAACCAGTTATTAAATAGCTGCAAAGAGTTTAAGCACATAGCCTATTGTAATGTGTGTTCACATGAAAAGTGATAGGATCAAGCCAATGATGCAATTTTAACATATTATCCTGCCCCAGGTTCGTTCAGAAATTGAGATAGGTCATTGTTCTTGGTATACTGTATACAACGTCCCCAGACCTTCTGGAACAGTTCTTGTTTGTCTTTGAGAATGTAAGTGATTTTTTCTAAAGGCAGACATAAAGAAAGTTCCCTAAACCACTGTGCAATACTAGGTTTGCCCAACTTTTTCCATGTTAAGGCAATCACTCTTTTTGCTTGTAATAAACAGATAAATAAAAAAACGTGTTCATAACATTGTATGTTATGTCCATCCGGATATAGGCCAAGTAGGAACATTTTTGGTTCCAGCTTTAAGCTGATCAATAAAATATTCTGTACTGTTACCCTAACCTCTTCCCAGAATTCCTTTATTATTGGACATAACCATAGACAATGGAACAGTGTGCCTTTTTCTTCCCCACATCTGGTGCACGTGTCTGGGATATTAGCATTACATTTATTCAGTTTTTCTGGTGTAATATACACTCTCATTAGCCACTTGTATTGCAGAAGTTTTAGACGCGTATTACCCGTCTGTGTTTGGGCCGCCTTACAAGCTGTGCTCCACTGTTCCAATGTTAGATCTTCCTGCAAGTCATTTTTCCAGGCATTGAGTCTAGAGTTCGAGGATTCTGAGGAGAACGCCAGCAGGAGATCATAGAATTCAGATATGATGCCCTTCCCAAAGAGGTTTTTAATTAAAACTTTCTCCAATATGGACAGAGGAGGGGCCAGCATGAGTCGATCCTGGTTCGCTCCAACAAAGCTCCTGAGTTGCAGATATTTAAAAAAATGTTTACGAGGGATATCGTATTTACTGACAAGTTCCTCAAATGGTAAAAAATTCCCATTATAACTTCCAAACATGTCTTTTAACTGTCCCGCCCCTTTATCAGCCCATAGTCTAAAACCCCCATCGGCATTCCCTGGCGCAAAAATAGTTTCCCCAGATCGGGTTAAACCAGGAGAGATAAGAAGGTTCGTTCATGTAGAGGAAACTTCTGTGTAGCATGCAGTGGAGTCACCGACTCAGGAAGGAGACACGGGAAGAGTCGGAGCTTTGATGTCAAACCACTGTGATTTATTTGGAGTTGGTACCAGAGTATTCACATCACAAATCCAAGAGTCAGAGGTTCTGACTCCACGGTAGAGTTGCCATGTCAATTCTGGAGAGCCTCTCTCTTGCCAGCCCATCTAACTGGTTTCGCAGAGAGTAAACAACATATTTGAGGAGATAGCCTAAACAGTGTGGGAACACAGAGCTACTTGCCTCGGACACTTATGACCTCGAAGATTTTACCTTGGAGTCCACAAATACAGAGAAGGAAGTGTCCCAGTGTACCCACAACACAGACCATCTGTATCCCAGTATTGACCGGTCACAGAATGGGAACAATAACATTGTTGGCTAAGCCGCCTGTGTCCTTAAAGAAGGTAAACAGACATCGAGGTTTGTCCTGTATGTTACTAATTGGCGTCTTATGATAATTATTTCCATAACAGTTCATATATTTTTTAACCTCCTGCCAGACACCAATCATATTTTTAACTATAGGGTTAGGTGTAGTTTTTTTAAGGTTTTTAGGGTTCTCAGAATATAGATAAGTGGGAAGTGGGAGCCTTAAGGAGCAAGACTCAACATCCCTCCACGCCGGAGGCCTCTCCTCTGTGTAATAAAACATCAATGTTCTCAGCTGAGCTGCCCAGTAGTACCACAACATGTTAGGGAACTGTAATCCTCCTCTATCATAAGGCAAGTACAAGAGAGACAAACGGAGCCTGGGGGGTCTGTTATTCCATATAAAATTACTAAACATTTTCTTCATTCTAGGAAAAAAATCTGGTGGCAGGGGGATGTTTTGAAACAAATATAACGGCTTGGGGAGAACATTCATTTTGAGTATATTAATTCTACCCATTAGAGAGATCAGAAGGTTTGACCATCTATCAACTGATTTGGAAATAGACGCTATAGTCGGATTATAGTTAGAGTTCACAATATCTTCCAATTTGGGAACAATCTGAATACCCAAGTAAGTGAAAGTATTTACTGTTTTAAAATGGCCAGCATGTTTGGGTGGGTTAGACCTTTCCTCCGAGTTAAGGAGCATTATGGAGGATTTTGAATTATTTACTTTGTAACCCGATATATGGTTAAACCCTTTAATCAGATCCATAAGGGCCGGTATAGAATTCTCCAGATTTCTAAGGAAGAGAATCACGTCATCAGCGTAAAGAGCTATTCGGTGGTCAAACCCTCTCACATGCAGGGGCGCCGCCAGGGATTTTGGGCCCCATGAAAAGATATCACATTGGGCCCTACCACCAGGCCCAGGCCACGCCAACCAAGCACAATTGCTGTAACCACACCTCCAGAACCCAACCCACTCATTTATGCTTTAAATGACTACCTGTACAGGCTTGCATCTATCTTGTAGTCCAATACTAACTGCACAATATTTACTGACACTGAGCGGTGAAAATATAACACTGTGCAGACGTGCAACATTCTGCTGCAGTAGAATTCACTATTTTATATAACACTAACATTCCTGACAATAGATCTCAATAGTAATCTTTTATGGTGTACATGCCTTTTTAATAAAAAATGTGGATGGAACATTCAAAAATCTAAATAAATATAACTAAATATACATGACCTCTTAAATTAAAATAAAGTGAACATTAACACCAATATTATAATTTATAAAATGCTATAACAAAAAAAACAACATTAGCAGCAGATTTTTTAATTAAATATACATACCAACTACAAAATAAGCGGGTATTAAAGTGTAAACGGACAACAAAACGGAAATGGAAATGAAAAGGCCTGATGGTGGTGCTAAATCAGAGCCTATTACCTGTTCTCAGTCTTTTTCTCATCATGCATCTTCTGTGTAGTGATCCAATATCGTTACCATAGCCTTGCCCTTTAACAGTTATTACGAGGCCTGGCTCAGCCTCACGGCCCGTACACACAGCAGCTTTTGGCGATTTGTCCACCGCTTCCAGCGCATCTCCGCCCATTGACTTTGAATGGGGATGACGTCACTTTCCCTCGCTTGTCGCCGAACTGCATTGTGGGGGGGCGAGGCGAAGATTTCCAGGATGTTCAGGATTCCAAAGTTGAACAATGTTCAACTTTTGAGGCTGAGCTGGAAGCGACAGCCAATCAGATCCGTTTATGCAAATCTGACAGTTCAAGCGCTAGCCAATCAAACCGCGTGCAAGCTGGGAGAACCAGACCCGCAGTTCATTTCTATATTCCACAAAAATGGAGGAGAACTTAGTTATTGCGGTAGCAAATCACCCGGTTCTTTATGACCAGTCCCTATTTGCTTACCGGGATACAAACCGGAGGAACCAGGCATGGAAGGAGGTGGCAGAGGCAGTGGGTGAAACTGGTAGGTTTTCGCTTGTTTGGGGATTTTATATCCAGTTTACTTCGTTGCTAGTTTACTTCGTTGCTAGCAAGCATAGACAGTATCATTAGCCAGCATGGAATGTAGCATAAAATAGCACCATAAACATTAATCTCATAAATGTTCAAAATGTTAAAAAAATAAATGTTCATCATAGCCCTTCCTATTTGACAATAGTGTAGAAGAACCGGGTTTTTTTGCTTTGTATGTCGGGGGCGGGATATTCATGTGATTGGTTGTTGGTCGCGAAATCCCCAAGCTGTCAGACACGCCCAGCTCCAGGATTTTCAAGATTTGGTCAAAGCTGCTGTGTGGACACACCGTTACTCACCAAGAGCCCAGCGCATAGCCTTCTTACAGGCAAAGTCACTGATCAAGTCCTTGAAGTCCAGCTTTCTAGCCAACTGGCTTTCAATGGACAGCATGGCAAGACTGCAAAGCATTATGGGGGGGACAGGGCTGCGAAGCCTAAAGATGGATCTGTTAGTCCTGGCACCAGGGGAGGGACAACTGATTTAGTATGAATAGCTGCTAAAAATGTACCTGCATTTATTAAATGTCAGCTAAAAGAGGAGTGAAATGAAAAACCTCTGAATTTTCTGTGAAGATATTAACAGTACTTAATGTCAGCAAAACATTACAATTATTATTTATAAAGGATTAAGTTTAGCTAACAGACTAATTTCCACCACTCATGGACCACACCCACCTTTTCTTTTGAAAAACTGAGTGACATACTGTCGCCCTTTAGTCCCTCTCTCTTGTCTTTCTCTCCTTTATTTTCTTTCTTGAAAGCCTGACTTTGTTAGTCGTTGAGACATCGTACACACGTAAGTACCAAGTACTAGCATCCCTCCTCACATGCTCTCACTCTCTGCTGCTAGAAAATGCGGTGCCGCACAGCGTTTGGAGGCAGGACCAAACCATTACATGTAAATAGAGGGTGGTGTTCGATGCTTTGGATAATTAACTTTTGGAAGAAAATAAGTTAGATGAATCGTAAGTACATAGTACGGTGGCCCTGAAGTGCAAGACACTACAGCATTTCAGAAAACACCACAGCATTTCACAAAACGCCACAGCATTTCAGAAAACACCACAGCATTTCACATTGGACGGAAAGGGTATTCCTTTAGTGATGTTTGTGATTGGACAGAGCCAGCCAGAGAAGCACTGCTGTGATTGGTTGTTTTTGCTGCCAGTCAAGAAATACTGATATACACCTGAACATCAGCAGGAGAGGACTCTTTAAAGTAGAGACACTAAATACTGATATACACCTGAACATCAGCAGGAGAGGACTCTTTAAAGTAGAGACACTAAATACTGATATACACCTGAACATCAGCAGGAGAGGACTCTTTAAAGTAGAGACACTACATACTGATATACACCTGAACCCATATCTAAATGTAAGAGAATAAACCCGACAATGCTCAAGTTTGTTTCTCTCATTAAATAAAAGTACAGGTTTAAAATCCTCATATAAAATAAATGTACCCCAGTGTAAGGGATAACAGTGTTAGGAATATATTGTGATGAAGTGAACACTGACCGGAGTTCTGGGGGTATCTTTGTTCTCCTCCATGTTGCTCTTTGTGCTCCTTCTCCTGCTGTGTCTCTGAAATAAGTATTAACACTATCGATCCGACCTTCATGCTGCTACTCTAGTTCAAACTGCATCCACCAAACAATATGATTTATCTCGACCTCCCCAAAATAACCAAAATCTGACACGGCTGACTTTTTTTTTTAGCTGTTCTGTCGTCTTTTCCTGCAATCTTCTTCATGCAGTCAGTCAAAATGAATATTAATACGTGGCGTTTCTTTGACTATAGGCAAATATGGGCAACCTTACCACGTGAATCCTACGCAAGGCTTTATAAATGAGGCCCCTGAACATCAGCAGGAGAGGACTCTTTAAAGTAGAGACACTACATACTGATATACACCTGAACATCAGCAGGAGAGGACTCTTTAAAGTAGAGACACTACATACTGATATACACCTGAACATCAGCAGGAGAGGACTCTTTAAAGTAGTGACTCGACATACTGATATCCACCTGAACATCAGCAGGACAGGACTCTTTAAAGTAGAGACACTACATACTGATATACACCTGAACATCTGCAGGAGAGGACTCTTTAAAGTAGAGACACTACATACTGATATACACCTGAACATCAGCAGGATAGGACTCTTTAAAGTAGAGACACTACATACTGATATACACCTGAACACCAGCAGGAGAGGACTCTTTAAAGTAGAGACACTACATACTGATATACACCTGAACATCAGCAGGAGAGGACTCTTTAAAGTAGAGACACTACATATTGATATACACCTGAACATCAGCAGGAGAGGACTCTTTAAAGTAGAGACACTACATACTGATATACACCTGAACATCAGCAGGAGAGGACTCTTTAAAGTAGAGACACTACATACTGATATACACCTGAACATCAGCAGGAGAGGACTCTTTAAAGTAGAGACACTACATACTGATATACACCTAAACATCAGCAGGAGAGGACTCTTTAAAGTAGAGACACTACATACTGATATACACCTGAACACCAGCAGGAGAGGACTCTTTAAAGTAGAGACACTACATACTGATATACACCTGAACACCAGCAGGAGAGGACTCTTTAAAGTAGAGACACTACATACTGATATACACCTGAACATCAGCAGGAGAGGACTCTTTAAAGTAGAGACACTACATACTGATATACACCTGAACATCAGCAGGAGAGGACTCTTTAAAGTAGAGACACTACATACTGATATACACCTGAACATCAGCAGGAGAGGACTCTTTAAAGTAGAGACACTACATACTGATATACACCTGAACATCAGCAGGAGAGGACTCTTTAAAGTAGAGACACTACATACTGATATACACCTGAACATCAGCAGGAGAGGACTCTTTAAAGTAGAGACACTACATACTGATATACACCTGAACCCATATCTAAATGTAAGAGAATAAACCCGACAATGCTCAAGTTTGTTTCTCTCATTAAATAAAAGTACAGGTTTAAAATCCTCATATAAAATAAATGTACCCCAGTGTAAGGGATAACAGTGTTAGGAATATATTGTGATGAAGTGAACACTGACCGGAGTTCTGGGGGTCTCTTTGTTCTCCATGTTTCTCTTTGTGCTCCTTCTCCTGCTGTGTCTCTGAAATAAGTATTAACACTGCGGTCAACACAAAAACAATCTACAGCTAAGAAGTAGCTTAACAGCAGAGGTGGGAAGTACATTTACTCAAGTACTGTACTTAAGTACAACTATAGAGGTACTTGTACTTTACTTGAGTATTTACATTGTATGCTACTTTTACTCCACTACAGTTCAAAGATAAATGGTGTAATTTTAACCCACTACATGTATTTAATACCTTTAGTTACTTTATAGATCTGGATGAATGATGTGAAATATAATCAACTCTTAAATTAGACTTTAGTTCCACCTGGAGTACATTCACAAGCTACCCTGCAGTCTACAAAGTCATTGAAACTAGCTGCACCTTTACCAGCTTTGAGAACACTTTCATGATCAATCATTATAAAACATATCATATATATTATTCTGAAATGGACCAATCTGCACAATAACTACTTTTACTTTTGCTACGTTAACTATATGTTAATGATAATTTTGTTTATAATTACTTTTGGTACTTATTTTGATATTTTGATGCTACTTTTACTCAAGTACAATATCTAAGTACTTCTCCCACCTCTGAAATACAGCATTTGTCTCAAAGTACACAGTGGTGAAATCTTGTTTACTTTCTTGACTAAACACCTCTCAGTGCAAGATATATAAGACAAACATTAATATACTATAGTACCAGCAGTACAAGTACAGCCTTATTTTTAGCCTCATGCTGAAATTGCAGTAAAAGTAGGCCTACTCAGTATTATAGTAAAAGTGCCAAGTATTATCAGTAGTCAAAGTCAGCTTTATTGTCAAGAATTCTACATGTGTTATAACTTATACAGAACATTTGAAATACCGTTTCATGTGACATAGCAAGATACAAACAGGGCCTAGATAAAAGGGGTATAAACGAAGTAGTAATAAGTAAAAGGTAATAATATATTTAAAAAAACACAATCAACAGAACATGAATGTGACATTAGTGCAAGTATTCCTTAGAGCAAAAAGTACAGTTTTAAAGTACTCAGTATTATTAGTAGTAAAAATACTCAGTATTATCAGTAGTAAATGTACGTAGTTTTATAGTAAAAGTACTAAGTATTATCAGTTTTAAAGTACACAGTATTATAGTAAAAGTAGCTACTCGGTATTATAGTAAAAGTAGTCAGTATTATACTCGGTATTATAGTAAAAGTAATCAGTATTATCAGTAATACAAGCACTCAGTAGTAAAAGTACACAGTATTATAGTAAAAGTACTCAGTATTACCCGGTGTTTTTGCTCCTCGTTGTTCTTCAGTTTGTTGATGTTCACCGACTAGCATTAACCACCTAGCATGAAGCAGCTAACAGCAGATAAGATGGTGAAGAGGTGGAATTGTTCTAAAGCTCATCTCGTCTCTTCTTCTCCTGAGAGAAACGGGTTATATTCTATAACATGATATATATATTAATGAAAGCTGATAGAGACTCCGACTGCTGGATGTTTTACCAGAACTGGAGACTGCCTGAGATCATGGTAGAGAGCAGAAGTACCCGGATGTGGGCCCACAAAGCATGCGCAGTAGAGTTGTCCCTTAAGCCCCGCCTCCCATCTCCCGCTCTCTGAGTCTGTATGCAGACCACAGCAAGGAGGCGGATCTTAAAGGGGGTGGATCCTATAGGGGGGGGGCGTTTCCTAAAGGGTTATGAGCCCCGCCCCCCACGTATTTCTTAAAGGTATATGACGCTCTGTTTCTCATTTATTGTAATGCTTTGAATGAATCATAAACGAACTTTGAAAAATTATAATTAATTTGCATAAAGAATGAAGAGTATACAACCCACAGAGAAGACAAATTAATTGACCTATTGACAGATCATAATGAATCCAGAGTCAATTTGATAGTTTATCATAACATAGGATACATTAAACTCATAAATTGTAGGCATATCATTTTTTACTGTTTGTGCAGTGGTAGTAATTATTATTTAAATCAATCAACTACGTTTTATGGAAGATATTGCTGTATATCATTTAACAACATGAGTAGAGGTTTCTGTACACCTAAAATACTGACGTTGAAGTTACTGTCCTGATGTGCATCATTCATTTGTTCATGTTGTGTCTGGTGGTAAGATTAATTAATTAATTAACGTATTTATTATTTTTGAAACATTACAATACACATCAAATACTAAACATGAAATGTATAGTACATACCAATACATTGTACAAAGGACAATATATACAGTACATACAAAGAGGAAAGTCTTCATTAAACATAAACATTTTATTGGGTGTTCTAATTCAGCAGCCACAAAATATGTGCCCAGATTTCATTATCTCTGACTTCATCAACCAAAAGATCAATTTTGATATTTAACATGAACTCAGAAAGAAAAACACACTGTCTGCCTTATACAACTTTTGTTGGTCATCTTTGAATATCATCCAAGTTTTGTAGATGGACAATTTTGCTATTATTAGTATAAGGTTTACACTAGGCTATATATTTCACTATGGGGTGTGGTAAGACCCAGAATGATATTTGGCTATTTCTGTGTAAATTCCACTTTGAACAGAGACAAGATAAGGGCAGCCACTTGAGTTGCCCAAGCATTGACATGAAACAAACATAATGGTCTGTCTCCTCTGTGACCAAACAAACAGCACATAGAGGAGTAGGGACAAGCTTCCATTTGTACAGGTTTTACATATTTGGAAGAATGTCATGTAATATTTGAAAATTGAATTCTGGCAATTGACCCTCTGGAGAAATTGTCTGTAGCTGCCATACATTATTTGACTTGCTGTTTGTCAACCACAGCTTCCCAGTACGTCTGTATGTATGATGTCTGCTTATATTGTTTTACAATTACATCCTGTCAGAACCATGTGTACATTGTCAATGTAATCTTATTCAAAGGAAGAATCAGAGCATAATAAATGAAGCAGTAATACACTAATACTTGCTATGCACCCAATGTCTGATGCATTATGAACATTCTTATAATGTATTATAATCAGCTTATAACACTGTATAATTATAGTTATAAGAACTCATTAATGCTCATAAATGAACTAGTTGATGTGGGATTCAACAATAGTAGGACTCAAGTGTCTCCATTATCTTATGTAGGGTGTGAGCTTGCTTTACTGAACAGGACTATGAAGCACAGCTTCCCAGTATGTCTGTATGTACAGTATGATGTCTGCTTGTATATTGTTTTACAATTACATCCTGTCAGAGCCATATGTACATTGTCCATGTAATCTTTGGGTTTTGCTTCTATTATTTAGAAGCAGGAGCCATTTTTTAGGGATTGCCTTTCTAATAATGATTAATTCACTTACCCAATTCCTTTTATCCTGAAGCTTATGGCATATCTTTAATGCAAATTATACCTGAGTCAATCCAATGTTGATACATTAATGAATTTCCTCTAAGATCCATTATATACTTAGATCCCCAAATGGTCTGGTTTCCAACCTCATCTCCTGTACGGCTCTTTTAGTGTTCCAACCCCTGCTTTCTGCCAGCTAGCCCATCTTTGAATGACACATTGATAGAAAGAAGGAATCCCTGTTAAAATCAAGGTCTTTTCCGAATCAATTGAGAAATAGTTTAGGCAATAGCTTCCAGTCCCCTGATGTTGAGTGATTGATCCATAATACGCTTCAACCAACCATAATGAAGTGCTTCTCTGTGAGATACAAATATATAGCATTTTAAACCCTGTCTCATAATCTCCAGTGATAACTGATATTTTTCAATTGTATGACTCTTTCCAGACCAAATAGTCTAGGGGTAAGATGAATAACTTGGCTTTGGATAAGTTGAGCCTATAAATAAGGGAAAATACTGTACCGTACACCACATGGCTTTAATAAATACATATTGTTTATGAGGAGAGAAAAGCTGTGTTTTTCATCAACGCATAATAATAAATAATATAATATAATATATAATAATATAATATATAATATAATAATAAAGGAAGTTACATCAACACTGAAGGATAAAGATAAGGCAAATGTAGCAGTGAATATAAGATATAGTGGGCCTATCATGGAAAAGCTAAGACATTGAGCTGTCTGAGTGGAAAAGTACAGTACTGTGTTAAAGTCCAACTGCTGAGAAGCCTCAGTGGAAATATACTATGTGAATACTGTGTGCAACAAAAACGCGGGGTCAACCAGATTAAGAACAGAGGCATCCTGTTATGTCCAAACTGATAAGCCACAAGGTTGCAGAACTCATTATTCTCACACTAAATCACCCACCAAGCAGGCGCAACAGTTCACAAGGGCAGTCTTGTGAGTGAAACCAGATAAGGAAGTCCTTAAGTCCTCTGACATCTCGGCAGGCTCGTCAGTCCCCTCCGGCTCCCTGGCTAAATGATGCACTGCGTGCTAATAGAACCGTCCTTAGGGCAGCAGAGCGGAAATGGTGGAAATCCAAACACCGTGACGACCTCCTAACCTATCAAGCTCTCCTCTCCTCTTTCTCTGCTTCGATCTCTCAGGCAAAAAGCACTTTCTTTCAAGATAAGATGCAATCTTCCTATTCCAATCCTAAAAAACTATTTTCCATCTTCTCCACCCTCTTGGACCCTCCAAAAGCTCCTCCCCCCTCCTCACTTCTGTCAAGCGACTTTGTTACCCACTTTGAAAAAAAGGTTAATGATATTCGCTATTCTTTTTCTGACTCACCTTTACTCACCGCTGGGTCACCAGACCTTCCTTCCACCAACACACTAACCTCCTTTTCCCCTCTCTCTCCAAGTGAGGTTCTTACCCTCATTACATCTGCCCGCCCTACCACCTGTCCTCTGGACCCTATCCCTTCAAACCTCCTTCAGACTATCGCTCCTGATATTCTACCGTTTCTCACCCATTTCATCAACACTTCTCTAACTTCTGGTCACTTTCCAAACAGTCTCAAGGAGGCAAGAGTAAACCCTCTCCTAAAGAAACCCACTCTCAACCCGTCTGATGTTATAAACTACAGGCCTGTCTCTCTCCTCCCGTTCCTGTCTAAATCACTTGAACGCGCTGTCTTTAAACAACTCTCCTGTTATCTCAATCAGAACAACCTTCTGGATCCGCACCAGTCTGGTTTCAAGGCAGGTCACTCCACAGAAACTGCTCTCATTGCTGTCACGGAGGAACTGCACACTGCCAAAACTGCATCCCTCTCCTCTGTCATCATCCTGTTGGACCTGTCTGCTGCATTCGACACGGTGAATCATCAGATCCTCCTTCGCACTCTCCAAAAACTTGGAGTTTCAGGCTCTGCACTTTCCCTCCTCACCTCATACCTGAAAGACCGTACCTACAGGGTGACTTGGAGAGGGTCTGAATCCGACCCTTGTCAATTAACTACGGGGGTCCCTCAGGGCTCTGTTCTTGGTCCCCTCCTCTTCTCCTTGTACACAAACTCGCTCGGATCAGTCATTAGCCCGCATGGTTTTTCTTACCACTGCTACGCTGACGACACCCAATTAATTCTGTCCTTTCCCCGCTCAGAGACCCAGGTCGTCGCACGCATCTCTGCTTGTCTAGCTGACATCTCTCAGTGGATGTCTGCTCACCACCTCAAGCTCAACCTTGACAAGACTGAGCTGCTCTTCCTCCCGGGAAAAGATTGTCCAACTCTTGACCTGACAATCAACATCGGCACCTCAGTTGTTTCCCCGACTCAGACTGCAAGGAATCTGGGTGTGACCCTAGATAACAACCTGTCCTTCACTGCAAACATCGCTGCTACAACCCGTTGCTGCAGATACACGCTTTACAACATCAGGAAGATACGTCCCCAGCTGACTCAGAAAGCGACTCAGGTTCTGGTCCAGGCTCTCGTCATCTCACGCCTAGACTACTGCAACTCCCTCCTGGCTGGTCTACCTGCATGTGCCATCCGACCTCTGCAGCTCATCCAGAATGCAGCGGCTCGTCTGGTTTTCAACCTTCCTAAATTCTCCCACACCACTCCGCTCCTCCGCTCCCTTCACTGGCTTCCGGTAACTGCTAGAATCCACTTCAAGACACTGGTACTTGCTTACCGTGCTGCGAATGGATCTGGCCCTTCCTACATCCAGGACATGGTTAAACCGTACACCCCAGCGCGTGCACTACGCTCTGCATCAATCAATCAATCAATCAATGTTTATTTATATAGCCCAATATCACAAATGTTACATTTGTCTCAGTGGACTTTACAGTTTGTACAAAATATCAGTATGACAATACGACACCCTCTGTCCTTAGACCCTCACATCGTACAAGGAAAAACTTCTGGAGAAAACCCACAGTTTAAAGGGAAAAATGGGAGAAACCTCAGGGAGAGCAACAGAGGAGGGATCCCTCTCCCAGGACGGACAGACGTGCAATAGATGCCGTGTGTAAATTGAAAAGATAATACATTTGCAACATAGGTAGTCCAAATGTTTGGAAATGCATGTGTGTATAATAGGAAGATGAATCCACGAGGATATCCATCCAGGGCCTATGATCCAGGACCACAGCCACGACTCAAGATCCAGGGCTCGCAATCCAGGACAGAGGAGCGCAGGATCATCCATGACTCCGGATCCCGGCGTATATAGACACCAAAAAGAAAGACATTTGGGGAAGCTGGGTTAATCGGAACATGAGAGTACACAGGTATAGACAGAGAGAAGGAAGAAGTAAGATGTCCCCCGACAAACTAAGCCTATATCAGCAAAACTAGGGGCTGGATCTAATCAGCCCTAACTATAAGCTTTATCAAAAAGGAGCCAAATGACTCGTTGCGCCCTCGCTGCGAGGGGGACCCAAGTTCCCATCGGCGAAAACACGTGGGTTTGCTGTCCTGGCTCCAAGATGGTGGAATGAGCTCCCCATTGACATCAGGACGGCAGATAGCTTGCACATCTTCCGGCGCAAACTGAAAACTCATCTCTTTCGACTCCACTTCGAGCGTTAGAACGATTAGCGAAGCACTTTTATACTAATAAAGGACTGGATTACCTAAAGCCAGTTGAGTAGCACTTGAAATGTTTGGCTCTATGAAACCTGATATACTTATATGATTCTGTTTTCTTCAAGGTTGTGTCTTCCTGGTCGAATGTACTTATTGTAAGTCGCTTTGGACAAAAGCGTCAGCTAAATGCAATGTAATGTAATGTAATTAAGTGAGTGAAAGCAAATAAGGAAGTAACAAAAGCGCGCCGAAGGCTAACCTAAGAGTTGCTAGGGTAGCAACGGCAGATTACACCACAAGAAAGCAGCGAAGGTGGGGGCTCCGCTAGGAACAGTATATAAGCAGGATGTATTCAGTACTCGAGGCTCTCTTCAACTGGGATCTTACACTGACGAGCTTGTCACGGTGAGAACTCAAGAAGGAGTCCAAGGCGCTTTGTGGTATAGTATCAGATTGATGTATCTTTGTTGAACTGTGTAATAAAGTGCTTATTTGAAGAAACAATCCATTGGAGTGCAAAGTCTAGTTTTGTACAGCTAACAGAGAATAGTGTCTAGGACACAATTCCTTTTCCCTCAGAACTAAGAACGGTCATCGGCAGATCCGGACAGCGACCCCGCTCTAGCCATATCCAAACGATCTGCGCGGAGGACGTACCTGGTCCGGTAGACTCCAACAGCTTGGTGACCCCGACGTGATGGTCTAGAGCAGGTAGTCTGGACACCGATGACCTTCTGAGAGGACACCAAAAAACATTGAGTTTACGGCTTTTACAAGAAACCATCTCACACAATCAAAAACCCGGGTAACTCAGAATCAAGGTAAGCATCTGCCTGTTACAACAAATAGATGTGTTTGAAATACCACTAAATTTTAGGATTGTGTGAAAATGGCAGAAATAATTGTCTCAGCTAAAAAGTAAAGATAAAACGTAAATAAAATTGTGTGCACTAAATAGATCAACAAGGGCATAAACAAATCTGTGGTGAGAAGCGGGTGAAACCCGTAATTTATGAGGATCCGCCGCGGTCCAAAGGGAAGGTGTAAAACTGGTCGCCGTACCAGTAGCCATAGCACAGTGTAAAACTAGGCGAGGCCCTAGTATCTAAGGGAAGGTGTAAAACTGGTCGCCGTACCAGTAGCCATAGCACAGTGTAAAACTAGGCAAGGCCCTAGTATCTAAGGAAGGTGTAAACCTGGTCGCCGTACCAGTAGCCATAGTACAGTGTAAAACTAGGCAAGGCCCTAGTATCTAAGGAAGGTGTAAAACTGGTCGCCGTACCAGTAGCCATAGCACAGTGTAAAACTAGGCGAGGCCCTAGTATCTAAGAAAAGGTAGAAGACTAGCAAAAGACGCTAGCAACCAGAGAATCTAATAAAGAAAGATAAGGAAAAGTAGAAAATGGAAGGCGAATTTGCGAGAGAAGAAGCACTAGGCTTCAAAATCCCAGATGTACGTTGCGAGGTTTGGAAAGAATGGGTGGAAGAAGGACAAAAGGAAGTTGAGAAAAAGGATCACAAAAAATGGGAAAAAGGGGTAGCAAAATTGTACCGAAAATTGACAGATAATGGCATACTGACAGCACACAGACAAAGAACTAAGGATAACAAAGGAGAGTTGTTAGGAGGGAAAGATACGAAAGGAATGTTCAAAAAAAGCCACCAAAGGGCTAGAAGAAGAGCTCTGTCGTCACAAGAGCATAGACCCAGGGCGATGGTCACTCAAAAAGAAAGCACACCAAAACCAACAAGAAAAACTAGAACAACTAATTAGGACCTCATATGCCATGGTCTCAGCCGCTGGCCGCCTGGAAGAAACAAATAAAACCACCCCGGCCACACAAGCCCCCCTAGTAGCCGCGCCAGTAGCAGCACCGGCAGTAAAAAAACCCGCAGTAGCAGAACCCCCAAAACCAGCAGAACCCATAATCAACCAAGAGAAACACACGGCCGCCACCGCCCCAGCTCTCCTGTACCCCGAGCTCCCTAGAGAACAGCATGAGGTGCCACCCCCGTATAGCCCAGCCAACCCCTTCAGCCAGGCAGTGCTGCACCCTATGAGGGCTGGACCCACCGACGGGTATTACCAGATAGAGGGAAAAGTCTTATTAAACCAAACATCCCCACCTTTGACCAGAGCAGGGGTACAAGGACCGTCCCCAGATAGGAGATACCAAGATACCCCATACCCTAGACAGGAACACAGCAAAGAAAGGGGAGGGGGAGCTAAAACAAGCGAGCATGAAGACACAGATACTCCCCGAAGAAATGAAGGTAGGGCGTTAGCCGAGGCGAATTTAGAGGCCGAGTTAGCACAAAGAAACAGAGACAGGGCCACCAGCACACCAAAAACACCCAATCAAAGCAACTGGGGAGAAGGAGCAACTGGGGGACGGGAAGAACAGCATAAGGGGGTAACAAAAGACTTGTTGGGCGATTTTCTGGGATCATGGGACAAAGCAAGGGGAACAGGCTCAGGGGGAAGGACCACAAGGCGAAACTCAGTAACCAGCGAAGAAAAAGAAAGCATAAGATTGGGTTTAAAAATGGGACAACAGATAGAAAAATACGAAGCCTCCGCAAAGAACCTGGAAGCAGAGAGCAGGAGGAGAGATGAGGAAGATGAAAGAGACACTAAACAAAAAGAGGCTGACATAATACGCCGAACAGAGGCCGCAGAAAGGAGAAGGGGAAGAGAGGAGGAAGAGCAAGATGACAAACAGTGGGACGACCTGCTAGCAGGGGCAGACGAAGCAGAGGAGGAGGACGAGCCAGAAGAACAGGTCCTTCCGATGCACTTACCTAGAACCCCTAGGACCAGAAATGAGACTCTAGGGCAGAAAAACCGCGCAAGTAGGCCCATGACCATAGCTATGACAGGAATAATAGAATCAGGTTACGTTCCAGGAGCGGTGACTAGAGCACGAACGCAGAAAAGGCGACATAACGCTACCCAAATGCTAATGACTGAAGCCAGCCCCCCACCAATTCACCCATCCTCTCCCGAGCCCCCGGCGAGACAGATGCCCTTAATAACTACTTCTCAGGGGGCCAGGGTGTATCAACCTTTCTCCCTATCAGATTTAGGGACCATGTCCGCCCAGATGCCACCCCTGTCCCAGGGAGGGGCACCATGGATAAGGTCATTCACATCCCTAGGGGCGGGCCAAGCATTATGCCTTGGGGATTTCCGCCGCATACTAGGAGACCAGACAAATGCCTTCGATTTAGCGGAAGTAGAGAGAAGGGCTCAGACTGAAACAAGGGTGAACGAGGTACAGCTAACGACCGCTCTAATTACCCAGTTAGGTAATGCAGTCCGAACCAAGTGGCCCACAGAGCCAGAAACAATCACTTTCGCATTGAAACATGGGGAGGACTGCTCTGCCTTCCTGAATAGAGTAGAAGGAGAGTACAGAGACATAACAGGGGCGCACCATGCCAGTGATCAGACGCACGCCAACCTGTTCAAATCAGCAGTGTGGGCTGCTTTACCAAAGTCTGTAAAAGACGCTATGGAAGACAACCCAGAGACCCCATACCACACAATGCCTACCTGGAAAATACATGTTTTGTTCCATCACAAGAAAACCACAGACAAAGTGCAGAGTTTAGCATCCAAGAAAGAGGAGATAGAGCTCAAACTACTGCTATCTCAGCTAGCGGTATCCACCAAACAGGAGCAGGAAGGAAAAGAAACTAAAGGAAAGAAACAGATGGCCCAACTTCCGGTTCCTATTCCCACCCCCACTCCAGCCCCTCAGATAATGGCACCAGTACAACCATATGTGATGGCCCCAGTCCAACAGTATGGACATCCCCAGCAGATGGGAGCCCCCCAGGTGGCTTACACCATTCCTAATGGCCACTATACCCCGGCACCATACTATCCTGGTGGACCGGCAGTTCAGGGCGGCTGTCACTATTGTGGAAAACCAGGGCATTACATAGCAGCTTGCCGAGCCCTAACAGCAGATAAGAACGCAGGTACGGTAAAGGCCTATGCACATCCCAGACCTCAACAAGCAGGGGGATTCAGAGGAAGGGGAGGACCTGGCCGAGGGGGACAACAGTCAAGAGGGGGCTACCAACCGGAGCAGGTGGCCCAAGGCGTTTATTATCCAGCAGGACCTCCACAAGCACCCCCACCGGCATTTCCCCAAACCCAACCCCCTCCACAACAGTGTCCCGTATTCTAAGATTATGAGTACGACCAGGACCAGTACATGACATAGGGAGTCCTAGGAACCCCCACTATGAGAGGCCTAGCGGAGCCACTCATACCTGTCACAGTGTTAGACAAACAACTGCCTTTCTTGATGGATTCAGGGGCCAGGTATTCTACCCTAAAAGACCCTAAGTACCAGTCACAGGCGTCACACAACACAGTGGCAGTAGTAGGGTTTTCAGGACAAATAGAACAACTTCCGCTTACCCATAAACTCCCATCTAGCATCGCTGGGCAGACATTCCAACACCCATACCTCCTCTCACCCCAGTGCCCAGCTAACCTGTTAGGAAGAGACATCCTCATAAAAGCAAATGCCTCCATCTTGTGCTCCCCAGACGGATTGAAAGTCACATTCCCCAATGGTGCATTCTATAACTGTTCTGCAACCATATCATCGCATTCCCAGATGTTGTTAGCACAATCCTGTAGTCCAGCGGCCTTCCAAGAAACAACCATATATTGGGGTCTGCTGACCCGCCCTCTGGAAGAGGCTAAGGCCAGAGATTCGTTATATGGGAAGTTCTCCCTTTGGAAACCTTGGATACAGGCCATACATCCCTACAGCCCCCCAAAAGACCCTCCCCATGTCACCTTCTTCTACTCTCGCTCACCATTTGACGAAACGTTTGCTGAAGAATAGGATGACAAAAAGTATGACCAAACTGATGGGGTATGCACAGGGAGAATTTTCATATCAGAAGTAGGGGTGGCAGCGGAAGTATTCCTCGACCTTGATCAAGACTACTGGTACAGAATGGGACCAGAGTCGGTTCCCCACATAACCCTATTGTTAGGCCCCGCCTCAGAAGCAAGATCATTGGGCCCCTTTGTAAAAAAGGCCCAAACAGCCACAGACTGGATACCTACAGACATCCCACAGGTCGAATACTCACCCTCACTCAAAGCACATGCTATCTCACACTCATCAGAGGAAGGCATTAACTATGAGGAAGTCCCGGTGGTCAGAGACCACCACATGGATAAACAGGACCATCCCGACACACAGAGCATGTTTGATAAACTACCAGGACATCTTTGGTCAAAAGATCCATACGACGTAGGACATTGCATCCTGGCCGAACCAGTGTGATTCCAATACACAGCTGACCCACCAGTTTACGCCCCCCAATACCCTATGGCCCAAGCGGCGAAAGAGGGTATTGATGAAACCATAGACGGACTAATAAGATCAGGGGTATTGGAAGACTCAACAGACTTACAGTGGAACACTCCCATACTCCCAGTAAAGAAGGCAGGGGGTAAGACATACCGAATGGCCCATGACCTAAGACGCATAAACTCTAGAATCACGACACCTCCCATTCCGGTACCAAACCCACATGTGGCAATAGCCCAGATTGGTCCAGGACACCGACATTTCACAGTCATAGATTTAGCTAATACATTTTTCTGCATTCCCCTGGCAACAGACCTAAGACACATCTTCTAATTCGTTCACAAAGGGCACAGGTTTCAGTACACAAGACTACCACAAGGATTCAACCTGTCCCCAGGAATATTTAACAAAGTGTTAAGGGAACAGCTACAAGACTTAGACCTACCCAAAGACACCATCCTGGTACAGTATGTAGACGACCTACTCTTAGCCAGCCCTGACGCAGACTCCTGCCTAAAAGCCACACAAGCCGTTCTAACACGACTGGCCGAGAGAGGGTTCAAAGCATCCAAAGCAAAGATCCAATGTAACAGAAAGGAGGTTACCTTTTTAGGGAGAGTGCTGTCTGAAGACGGCACCGCAATGTCCACCACCCACCAGGACTCAATACTGGCCCACCCAAAACCAATACTGGTCAAAGACATGCTCTCTTTTTTGGGCCTGTGTGGGTACTCCAGTATGTATTTAGCGGACTACAAACTACGCACAGCACCACTCAGAGCACTGATAAACGAGAAAGGGCATAGGAACATGACTGCCAAACTAGAATGGGACTCAGACTCAGAACACGCTTTCATAACTCTCAAGCAAGATATGTCTACAGTATGCGCACTGGCCTCAGCAGACTATCAACACCCCTTCTTCTTGGATGTTTCTGAAAAAGAAAACACCGTAAACGGCGTACTTTTCCAGAAAAAGGGGGATCAGAGTCCAGGCAGACATTTTTTGCTGTATGCTAGCGTAGCACTAGATGCAGCAGAGGCAAAAGAACCCCCATGCATCAGACATGCAGCTGGAGTGGCTAGAGTACTAAGGAAAATCCAACACATAGTGATGAGACACCCACTCACAGTGCTCACAAGCCATAGCATTGTAGCCCTAGTCAACTCAGCGGCCTTCACCATGACATCAGCAAGACAGACCAGGTTAGAAAAGTATCTGACACAGCCACACATAACCTACACACATGAAGGCACCAACATGGCAGACTACTTACCAGGAGAAGGAGTCCCACACAGGTGTGAGGAAAAAGTAGTACAGGATGTAAAAATACGCCCAGACATGCAGGAAACGCCAGTAACAGGGGCAAGAGACATGTTCACTGACGGATGTTGTTACAGACACCCACAGGACGGCCTAAAAGGGGCCTACGCTGTGGTAGGACGAAGTAATGAGACAGGACTTTTTGAAAACATTGACTGCTCCCCCATCAAAGGAAAAGTGTCAGCTCAACTAGCTGAACTAAAGGGCGTAATCGCCGCTTTGAACCAAGGAATAGATCAAGACATCAATGTGTACACAGACTCAGCATACGTACACGGGGTAGTGCACCACGACCTAAAAAGATGGCTCAGGGCAGGATTCGTAACTAGTACAGGAACACCAGTGAAACACTATCACGAAATCAAGGCGTTAGAGGAGGCTATCATGAAACCCAACAGAGTAGCTGTAATCAAATGCAAAGGACACTCCAAAACCACAGGGTACCTAACCGATGGAAACACTGCCGCCGATCTGGCCGCCAAGCAGGCAGCCGGATACGAAGCCACATTCTCACAAATGGTTGTACGGGCTCCCCAAGAAGGAATACTAGAAGCCAGAACAGATGAGGAGTTGGCTAAAGAACAATCTAAAGCTTCCCCGCAAGAACTAACGGCCTGGAGAAACAAAGGGGCAAGAAAGGGAGCAAATGACATTTGGTACTCCCCAGACGGGAGGCCAGTGATCCCACCAGGGTGGGTAAGAGCTATGATGAAGGAAGCACACTCAATGGCACACGTAGGAAAGAACCAAATGGTTAGGGCCCTGACCCATTGGTGGCACCCTTACCTACCAGATATAATAGCTAATCATCTTGAAGAATGCAGTATTTGTGGACGCTACAATGTGAGGGCCACCATCAAACCACATGAGGGAAAGTTTCCTGCAGTAACAATGGCAGGGGAGGAGATAGTCATAGACTATACAGACATGATAGACAGACACAGGGGAAAGAGGTACATACTCATGGTTGTGGATGCCTACACAGGGTGGCCAGAAGCCATCCCCTGTGCAAAAGAAGACAGCCAGTCTGTAATCAACTTCCTGGTACAAACCTACATTCCAAGACACGGGTTCCCCAAAAAGATTCGCAGTGACAATGGAAGCCACTTCAAAAATCACGATTTAGCGGTGGTGGAAGCCTCTCTTGGGCTAACCCACAGATTTGGAGCAGTGTATCATCCACAATCACAGGGAAAGGTTGAGAGAATGAACTTAAATCTAAAACAGAAACTAGCAAAGGCGATGGAAGAAACAGGAATGACATGGTTGGAGGCACTACCTCTCGCCTTATTGGCTATCAGGAGTTCCATTTGCAGGACCACTGGGTTCACTCCATATGAAATGACTCATGGGCACCAGTTTCCAGTCCCAGGGGCGGGAGCCACGGTTTCAAAGGAACTGTATGACAAAGTGGGGCACCAGGCCTACTATAAACAACTAAAATGCCTCGTTGCAGAGTTCGCGGACGAATCCACAGCAGCCAGAGCCAAAGGACACACAGAGGAAGCTGAGGGCAGCAGGGACGCTGAATACGTCCGCCTGAAGACGATCAAACCCAAGTGGTGTGCTCCAAGGTTCTCTGAACCACTCAAGGTAACCCAGCGAACAGATCATGCAGTCAGAGTAGACGGAAAAGGAGACACGTGGTACCACTGGAGCAGGTGTGTGGAAGCACCAGCACCTACCAGGACCCTCGCTGACACCATCCAGGACCTAGGCCAACTGAACATCAGGCAAACAACCGAAGCCCCTGTTGGGTATTTCTATATTACTTTGTAAGAGTAAACCCCAGCTCGGTTCAAATATACCAAAACCCAGTGAACAAAGATAACAGTACTCGAGTTTCAAGTTTACTTGCTGCAAGGAGAATCAGCGAGTGACAGGTCATGTCAACTCCAAAACCAACTCTGCTCCTCTTCTCTCAGTGCAGTCTCTTTATTACAAAAATACAGTTACAAATCATGCATGAGGAAGTGTATGTAACCAACGGCTTTATTTGTCAATGGGAGTCTTGTGACTCGCAATCATGTGTGTGTGTGTGTGTATGGTCCACAGAAAAGGGGAACAGACTATTCTCTGTTCCTCTTTTCTGACTATGGTCTCTTTACAACATAAAATGACAACATATTATGAAAACACGTTTATCCTTCAATAAACTCTAACATTCCCTCCTGTTTTTCATAATTACTAGCTGGTTACAGTGTCTTTATTACTTTCAGAATTAATTCACTTGTTTTTGACATTTTCGAACCATTCGTCATATGACAGACAGTAACCTAGCTTTAAGTCTTACACATTGGAGGTTAGGTGAGTATATTCGTCCTTCTGAGAGGGGTCTGTGTCAGTATAGTCATCGTTATCTGTCTGTTGCAACATCGTATATTGGACAAGAGTGTTGGTAACTATTTTACCAACCATAGCTTTAACACATGGTATAATACAAGCCATAGCACAGCACACAAGGATGACAACACATATGATTGCAACAAATCCCATCACGAGCTTTTGAACCCAGCTCCCTGAGAGTAGCCAATTGAACCATCCGGTCTCAAGAGAGGCATGTCTGTCTTGGCCCATAGCTGTCTGTAGGGCTTTGAGAGTAGCCATTGCATCTGTCATGTTTTGGGAGTGGACATTGTCGGTGATATATGTACAACAGATTGTGTTCAAAAGGATACACGTACCTCCTACTGAGGCAGTGAGTAGATCAAGGGCCATGCGGTGCTGTAGCACCATGGTTCTGAGTGAGTCTAGTTCGAGGTTCTGTTGTTCGTTTACAACGATGGAATTATTTACAAACATGCCGAACCGGTAATCAAGGGTTTCGAGTCTCAACATGTTCTTCGCTACGCCTAAGGCAGGAGTCAATGCTAATATTACCTTTCCACTGGTGGACCAGTGTTTGAATTCATCAGGGACATCTTTTCCCCATACTGAATCATGTTTTTTGAAGGCAGGCATGGCATTTCTCCTCCTGCGGGTGTGGTTAAGGTGTGGTTCTATGTCTATCACGAAGGTGTGGTCGCTAACAAATATTGGTGCACACGTGCCTGTCCAATTTATTGGCAGAACTGGATAAGCGTTGTTGCCACACAGCCACCATCCTCCTTGTACCCACCATGTACCATTAGATTGTTTGCTCAAATAGACTGGAGCCCCTTCGCCATTAACAAGTGTCTGGTTACAACCAGTGGTGTTTCCCATTGGTACAGAACCTTCTGTCTGACTGTAACACATAGGGTGTATAGCTTCATTATTTGGCATGACTACCTTTTGTCCTGTCATTTTACGCGGCACTGTCATGTTAAAGTTCACCCAAAATATCTTATTACAAGTGCCATTGCTTAAACCTGGGGCATATGGATTCACATCGTTGACTTTTATCCCTGAGTGCTGGTATCCTACACCTCCCATGGTAGCAAAACATTTAGCTTGTGATTTACTCATCCTTTTACCATACAGAGTTACTTGTCCAGTTGACCATGGCATGTGGGAACAAACATAACAATTTGAACGCCCTGTCTTTGTAACAAGTTGATGGACATAGGCATACCAGGCATTTGTCATCCTAGGTGAGCGTGCAGTTTTGTCGTTGTGGTTCCATGGGTCATCGTTGAGTAATGACCATTTTTTCTCTCGATGGACCTTTTCTTTTGTTGAGGATTCCTCACTCAATTGTCTTATAGTCATTAGCGTCAGACCCAGCAGGGTCACTACAAACAACACCTTTCCCAACATAGTCTATTTGTGATAGTGGTTCTGTTGTTTTCTTCACCGGGGTTGAGACCAGTATTTCCTAATGAAACACCGCCCTTTGTAGCCGGACTTCCACCACTTATCCGTCGTTAAGTTGGAGAGGTATTATCTTTTTGCAGTGGCTCTGATGTATCCACGTAGTTCTTTCGGCGATTTTTAGTGCAGTCGGTGTTGTCAGCAGTACCGTGTAGGGACCGTCCCACCGTGGACAGTGCCAATGCTTCCTCTTAATCACCTTCACGAGGACCTGGTCACCAGTCTGCACTCGAGTGTCCTGCAAGGGGGTAGAAATGTCTGGCAGGTTATTTGTTCGAGCTATCTCATTGCTTCTGAAGAGTCTGCTCATCCATTCAGCTAATGTAGTCTCTGCCTCAGCATCATCCTCCTCCCTCACCTCGTCTGTGATTGGTAATCTGAATTGCCTTCCTGTTATGATCTCAAAGGGAGACAACCCTTTTGCCGTGGGCGTGATTCTCATGCATGTTTCTACCAGAGACACACATTCCACCCATGGTCTTCCTGTTTCCTCCATTGTTTTCCTTAGTCTTAACTTTACTGTTCCGTTTGTTCTTTCCACTAAGCCTGCACTCTGTGGATGATATGCACAATGGTTTTTTAATGTTATCCCCATATGTTCGGACAGTTTGGTAATAACCTGATTTACAAAATGAGACCCATTATCACTGTACAGTTTCTCTGGAATACCTCTGTTTGGTATTATTGTCTTGCATATGGCTTTTGCTACGGTAATAGCGTCTGCATGTTTTGCTGGGAATATTTCAACCCACTTTGAAAACGGACATATCATTACCAAACAGTATTTGTACCCTTGGCATGGTGTTAGTTCGATGAAGTCCATATGCATGTGTTGAAATGGGTATGTTGGTGGAGGGAACTTTCCTCTCTGTGGTCGCTCATTGCCTTGAGCATTGTGTCTGCAACATACTACACAGGCTCTACAAAAGTTTTTAGAAAATGTAATGTAGTTGTATGTATGGAAGTGTTCATTTATTATTGTCACCATCCCTCCTGTTGAGACATGGCACGGCCCATGACTCAAATGAGCTGCTGTTTTGTAGAGACTAACAGGGAGTACTATCTTGTTGTTTATTCTGAATGTTCCCTCAGGGTCTGTGGTTGCACCATCTGTCAACCATTTCTTCTTTTCTCTGTCGGGTGCGCTGTTCTGCATATCCCTTAATATCACAAGAGGTATTGGTTGTGAAACACTTTCCCCCTTCTGCAAGAGGATATGGAACCCATATTCGCCCATAGCTGCTAGCTTCGCTACCTTATCCGCGTGTGCATTGCCAAGTGTTACTGCATCCTTCCCACTGGTGTGCGCAGCGCATTTGCATATCGCAATGCTTTTCGGCAACAACACCGCTTTTAAAAGATCAGTCAGCAGCTGTGCATGGGTGACTGGTTTTCCTGTTGACGTTTTCATGCCCCTGCGGGCCCATTGGGCTGCAAATATATGTACTGTTGAGTGCGCATACTGGCTGTCTGTCCACATAGTCACATCTTTTCCAACCCCCGCTTTGCATGCTTCTGTAAGAGCTACTAATTCCGCTGCTTGTGCAGAATATGTGTGGGGGAGTCGGCCTGCTTTTATGACCTGTGAGTGTGATACAACTGCAAACCCTGTTTGATTTTGGCCTGTTATAGATTTAGAACAGGACCCATCCACAAACCATGTTTCGCCACTGAGTAGTTGTATGTCTTTCAAATCTGGTCTTGGTTTGCATGTTCTGTCAGTCTCTTCTTTACAACAGTGTGGTTCTCCATCTTCTGCTGTAGGTATTAATGTGGCTGGATTTAAGATATTACATCTTTTTATCACAATGTGTGGTTGTGACATTAGTGTAGCTGTCAGTGCCAAATAACGTGCAGGTGATAAGAAAGCCATTTTGGTGTCATGTAACAACATGGTGACTGCGTGTGGAACCATCAGTGTGAGTGGGTGGAACAAAACTATTTCTGCTGTACAATGTACCGCCATTGCTGCCGCACATACTGCTTGTACGCATACTGGTAATGCTTGTGCTACTGGGTCTAACCTTTTAGAGTAGTAAGCGACAGGCCTTAGTTTTGTGCCGTGTTTTTGTGCCAATACTGATGTCATAAACCCTTTTTTGCAGTCAACTGTTTGTACAAATGGTTTTTCATAGTCTGGTAATGCTAACACTGATGACCCTACGAGACACTGTTTAGTACTTTCAAATGCAGCTTCTGCCTCTTGTGTCCATTCTATCTTGCCGGACATTTTCATGTCATTGTCTGAGTATATGCAATCTAGTAGGGGCTGAGTCATTCCTGCGTAGTCTGGAATCCATGCTCTGCAATAGTTAGTCAGCCCAAGGAATTGCATCATTTGTTTTTTTGTTGTTGGCTTTGGTTCGTTTAACACCGTCTGTTTCCTCTCTGAGTGTATGCGTCTCCCTTCTCGGTTTAAATTGTGGCCTAAAAAGATCACTTCCTCTTTCACAAACTGAAGTTTCTGTCTTGAAACCTTGTTTCCTGTTTTGGCCAAATGTGTCAATACTTGTAGTGTGACTTTTGTGCTTTCTTCCTGTGTGGGTGACGCAACAAGAATATCATCTACATATACCAAAATCTGCGATGTGTCAGGTATCTGTAATGTAGCCAAACAATTAGCTATTTCTCGTGAAAAGATTGTTGGGCTATCCACATACCCCTGAGGTAATCTGGTGTATGTGTATTTTGTTCCTTCATGTGTGAACCCAAACCATCCTTGTGAGTCTTTTTCTACAGGAATGGAGAAAAAGGCATTGCTCAAGTCTATCACTGAGAACCATGCCATATTTGGCTTAAGGCCGTTCATTAACGTGTGTGGATCTGGTACTGTTGGGGCTGTGCTTTGTACAGCATCATTTACTGCTCTTAAGTCTTGAATCATTCTCCATGACTGCCCATCAGCCTTTTTTACTGGGAAGATGGGGGTATTGCATGATGCATCAGGGCACTCACGCAGGATCCCTGCTTTTAGCATTTCTTCAATTACAGGTTTGATGCCAACTTTTGCATCCTCTTTTAAGGGGTATTGTCTTATGTTAGGTCTGTAGTTAGTTTTTGGTCTAACGTGTACAGGTTTTGCGTTCACCATGCGACCTACATCACATTTTCCTTGTGACCATACGCATGGCGGCACCGTTTTCAGGACCTCTAAGGCCTCTTCACTTAGCATACATCATTGTTGTTCAGGGTCGTCTAGGTGGGCGCGTGGTGTCATCACTAGAGTAAACCCTAGAGTTTTGCGCTTTAACCCGCCTCCAGTTTGCCAACCGTTTTTGTCATCTGTCCATTTTGTTATCCTGTTACCTCTAGCCACTAATAAACCTAAGTCTCTCCATGAAGTCCCTGGGCCCCTAGCTACTGATATGTGTGGCGTGGAACCTGGTTCCATTATCAAGGCAGTGGTTGATGGGACCCTAGCGTCAATTACAACATCCCCGTGTTGGTTTGCATACATCGAGTGGAACACTACCCTCTGTGGTGTCAGTCGATGCACGAGCACATCATAGTCTTTGTCTGGGCCAGGGGTGTTCTTGTACTTTAGTGTAACGTGCAATGCGTCAGGTTTCATTACTTCTTGGCCATGTTGTGGGGTGAATAGTGTTAACAGGTGTTCACCTGTGTTTGTCACGTCAGGTTGTGGCATGTCTAGTGACCAGTAGTAGTTGGGGGTGTTTATGGATTTTTGAAGGAAGACCTGGTCTTCCACCTTTTCTCCGGGCCCTACTGCTCGCATTCCCCCTTTGACTGGTACTACACTGATTTTTAACATTTCCATGCCGTCTCTCCCTAGCAAATTGACAGGGCAGTTTGAGATGAACACAAATTTGAGGGATGCCTGGAGGCCTGACCTTCTATCTTCCATAAAAAGTGGCTTTGAAATCGACCTCTGATTTATGTGTCCATTTGCTGATTTTACAAACATAGTGCCAGTTGGTGGCCACATTCTTTGGACCTCTTTGTTCACTACTGATGAGTCTGCACCGCTGTCACATAAAAATTCTAATTTTTCCCCATTGATTTCGATTGTTCTGGTAGGTTTAATACTGTTGTCTGACAGATTCAGTAATACTTCAGAAAGGTCAATGTGATGTGTGTGGACGTCCTCTTCTTCCTTTTCTACGTCTAGTCAGTTGTCATAACTATGTAGGTTATGTGAAGGGGGGGGGCCATGTCTTTCGTCTTTGTACTGTCCCTTTTGTCCCCCTTCTTTTTTCTGTGACATCTGTTCCTCACAGTCCCTCGCCATGTGCCCCTCCTTTCCGCACCTGTAGCAGAGGAATTTGCCTTCTGCGTTTCTGCCTCCTCCTCTGCCTCTGCCTGCTCCTCTACCATTCCCTCGTCCTCTGTTAAACCCGCCTGTCCCCTGTTCTGGTCCCACAAAGAAAATCTGAGTTTCTTCCCCATCTTCTCCTATGAAGAAAGCTGATGCTGACGCTTTCTTATGTCTTTTTTCTTTGATCTGGGTTGCTGCATGTTCTGCATAATTTAGGCACTCTTGTAAGTCGCATGTCCTATGGTTAACATTATGCTTGCGGATAAAGTCAGCAATACCTGGGTGGAACCCATTCATCAAGCTTTGTTTCAGCTGCTGCACATATGGGGAGTCAACAGCATTGTTGGGTGGAATTCCGCTATGGATACGGAAACAATCTTCCATTCTGATTCTGAAATCTTGTACTGACTCTTTTTCTCCCTGTTTACACCCTGAGACTTTAGTAAAGTCTCGTCTCAGTGCAAAAACCCTCTCGATTGAAATATTTACGGGAGCGAGTGCATTTATGAGGTCCTGCTGACCTGGTTCCAGGGGGTTTCCATTGGGCGAGGACCCGGTGAAATCTCCCTTTACTCTGGCCCATTCGTGGCCAAAAATTGTCATAAGGGTTCTTAAAACTTCATGTCCATTTAAACCATATGACGCTATTAATGCAGTATGGTCAAGGACAAACTGCGCCGGGTCCTGTTTGTATGGAGTCAGTCCCTCACAAGCCTTTTTACACTCATCCATTGTCCATGGGCGGAACACTCTTAACATTCTTTCTTGGTCATCGCCAACTCCATAGTGCGGGTTGGCCACTTGTACTAATGGATAAGCATCACCCTGATATGCTGTTCCATCGAAGGATTGTTCTGCTTCTCTTAATTCTTCAACAGGATATAACTTGGTTTCCCCTTTATATTTTCTGGTGTGCAGTGGGCTTAATGCATCTGCCATTTCTTTGTTGATGCGTTTTTGTGTCTCTCTTTCCCTGTCTTTTCTCTCTTTCTCTTGCTTTCTTTTTATTCTTTGCTCCTGTGCTTTGTGTTCTTCCACTATCGCTCTCTCTTTCTCGCGGCGTACAGCGTCAACTGACCCTGAACGCCCTGTCTCCTCGTCTGCTTTCACTGAAACAGCCGCTGCTATCATACCTTCTTCTGCTCCACCTGTCCTTTTATGGGCTTGTTCAGCCCATAAAGCTGCGACTCGCAGTTGAGCTTCTAACTTCTTTCTTTTCTTGCCTTGTGTTGTTCCAGCTGTTTCTGCTCTCAATTTGTCGCTTAATTCTCTTACTGCTGTTTTCTCCAACTTTCCTCGGAAGCCGTACAGTTTATACCATTTGCTACAATAACTGGTGCTGCCATGACTATATATTTCCATATATCTCATGTCCCCTGTAGCGGCAGGCTTACTCCCATTGGACCCCATTATTCTAGCTTTGTGTTCCTACTGGACAACGTGCCGGTCAGAACCTAATTCCTAATTCACCACTAGTGTACTTCAACAGACCACAGAGTTTTTGTTATCACCGTTAGGTTTCCACTCTGTGCGCTGATTCCACCTGGTGACACTTTTACACACTACTTTCACTCAATCACTCATAAGTGTACCCAAAGGCACGTCAATTTCTACCTCCTTAAATGGTGGAGTAACCTTTCTCATAAGTGTACCCAAAGACACGTCAATCCTCCTTAAATGGCGGAGAAGCCTTTCTCTACCTCCTTAAATGGTGGAGAAACCATGTATATCAACTTTTATCTTACCCGTTATCTGTGGTCACTGGTCCGGTTGGATTCCGTCAATCGTGCCGAGGATGAGGGAGGTTGGACATATAAGCACCGGCCCGGCCACGAATTCTGCGTCCCGGGTCTTTCTCGGGGTCGGCTGATGATCCCGGCTGTCGACAGACTTGCGGCGTGTCTTTTCCCTCCTCCTTCCCGTCACGATGTGTTGGATTCCGGCTCCGAAGGACCAATTAATGTTGGGTATTTCTATATTACTTTGTAAGAGTAAACCCCAGCTCGGTTCAAATATACCAAAACCCAGTGAACAAAGATAACAGTACTCGAGTTTCAAGTTTACTTGCTGCAAGGAGAATCAGCGAGTGACAGGTCATGTCAACTCCAAAACCAACTCTGCTCCTCTTCTCTCAGTGCAGTCTCTTTATTACAAAAATACAGTTACAAATCATGCATGAGGAAGTGTATGTAACCAACGGCTTTATTTGTCAATGGGAGTCTTGTGACTCGCAATCATGTGTGTGTGTGTGTGTGTGTATGGTCCACAGAAAAGGGGAACAGACTATTCTCTGTTCCTCTTTTCTGACTATGGTCTCTTTACAACATAAAATGACAACATATTATGAAAACACGTTTATCCTTCAATAAACTCTAACAGCCCCCCAACCCCCAAGTGTGGACATCGACTCCACTTCCGAGGAGGAGGAGACAACAGGGGAACCAACGGCAGCCCAGGAGATAACAGCCGGCGAGGAGGCACAACAAGGGACCGCTCCCCCAAAGTAGGCGGTACACCACACGCATCACATACACACACCACACAAGAGACACTCACCTACACTGATACACCAAAGAACTTTTACAAGAAAAACAAAGATGAAGAAGAACTCAGGACCTAACCAACACCTCTATTGCTTGGCCTTAACACTGTGTTTTTTCATTATTGTTGGAATAATCATTATCATAGTGGGTGAAAGGGGGAGGCAAATCATTGACCAAAGTAATAATCCAAATTCCCCACAAAATAAAACTACACAAGATACCTTTTCTCCTCCAAAAAACAGCCTAACTAGACACGTCCGCAATGTGGCCGGCACAGTAGATACGGCAAATTTCACCCAATGTAACCAGAAAGATGCATTGAGACACATCTCGCTGACACTTTGCCTACCCTCGGACTCAAGCACCACTACCCTCATCCCGTACACCAGTTTGTCAAACGAACT